TGAACAAATGAATGAAATGAATTTATGAGTGAACAAATGAATGAAATGAATTAATTCATTAGTGAAGGAATGAAATATTAGTACAAATCAGAGTGTTTATGCAATTAAGAATGGATGAAAAATTGTATAAATGTATTAAAGAACAAATAAATGACAGTGCATATTAAACAATAGGCCCATCATGGCCCTGAAGTCGCTCACCTGTATATAGGCCCCCGGAGTGGGGCCAGTTTAAACCCCGGGGTTTTTATTTGAACAAACTTGGTAGACACCCATTAGAAGATGTTTCATGCCAAACATCTAAGGTCTAGCTCGTTGGGTTTTTTAAAAGAAGATTTTTTTAAGTTTTTTCTTTACACATACAGTACGCTCACCACGGGTTTTGCTTTTTCCGCGATACCACCGCGGACGATTTTTTGTTATCGCGGACAAACGCGGGGATTCGTCCGCGATGAGAAGCCTAATTTCCCCGCGATCCCCGGTGTTCAGTTGTTTCCACCGCGGACAAAATTCTGACGACCGTTCTTCATTCATCGATAAAATCAGTCACCCGTTTCCCGCGGGGGAACGCCATGGTCAGTTGGTCAGTATAAATTAACCTTCAAAAATAATAGACGTTTTATTTTTTTTAACTTCATCTTTTTTACACAATGACTTGAAAATTGACCACAATCGTCTCCTTAAATGTTATTATACGTTAAATTATTTGAACGGAATTTGAAATAAAAATAATTACAGCTGTACCTGTTTTTGTTGTTGTTTTTAATATTCAATTGTATGTACTTAAACTACATGTTGTCTACAAATACTATTATTCCTATGAACAATAATATCTTAAGATAAAAATAAAATGAAATATTTATTACTTGAAAATCGGTCGATGGAACTTCTTAGAAAATAACTGCCATGTGCTTGTTTGCCTTATATACATGTATGTACATGCATACTGTTCATAATAAAATAACAAAAAGTATAACGTCAAGTTTAACAAAATTCTGCAAAAACAATCTACAACTAGAACTGCCACTATCTTGGCGTGAATACCCCCGCATACCACTTTGTCAGAATCAACAGTGGCCATTTAGAGCGCAAGGACAACCTCCCTGCCAAATCTGAGGTTACTAAGCCAGTGCATTGCTAAGTTATGTATTCTACATGCTTCAAATGTGAAAATGTCAAAATCAATACATTGCAGACAGGACATTCTTTAGCAATTGAGAAGAAAAGCTTTTTTTTTGTCAAGGTCCCTGTGACCTTGAACTTTGACCCAGTGACCTCAAAATCAATAGGGGTCACCTTATAGTCATGATCAACATCCATGCCAAATTTGAAGACTGTGGGTCAAAGGAATCTTAAGTTAATGGGTGGACAAACTTTTTGAAGTCAAAGTCCCTATGACCTTGACCTTTGATCCAGTGACCTCAAAATCAAAAGGGGTCATCTACTAATCATGACTAACCTCCATTCCAAATATGAAGCTTGTGGGTCATAGGAATCTTAAGTTATTGGGCGGACAAGCTTTTTGAAGTCAAGGCCCCTGTGACCTTGACCTTTGACCTGGTGACCACAAAATCAATAGGGGTCATCTACTAATCATGACTAACCTCCAATCCAAATATGAAGACTGTGGGTCATAGGAATCTTAAGTTATAGGGCGGACAAGCTTTTTGAAGTAAAGGCCCCTGTGACCTTGACCTTTGACCTGGTGACCTCAAAGTCAATAGGGGTCATCTACTAATCACGACTAACCTCAATGCCAAATTTGAAGACTGTGGGTCAAAGGAATCTTAAGTTATAGGGCGGACAAGCTTTTTGAAGTCAAGACCCCTGTGACCTTGACCTTTGACCTGGTGACCTCAAAAGTCAATACGGGTCATCTACTAATCATGACTAACCTCCATGCCAAATATGATGACTGTGGGTCAAAGGAATCTTAAGTTATTGGGCGGACAAGCTTTTTGAAGTCAAGGCCCCTGTGACCTTGACCTTTGACCTGGTGACCTCAAAATCAATAGGGGTCATCTACTAATCATGACTAACCTCCATGCCAAATATGACGACTGTGGGTCAAAGGAATCTTAAGTTATTGGGCGGACAAGCTTTTTGAAGTCAAGGCCCCTGTGACCTTGACCTTTGACCTAGTGACCTCAAAATCAATAGGGGTCATCTACTAATCATGACTAACCTCCATGCCAAATATGACGACTGTAGGTCAAAGGAATCTTAAGTTATTGGGCGGACAAGCTTTTTGAAGTCAAGGCCCCTGTGACCATGACCTTTGACCTAGTGACCTCAAAATCAATAGGGGTCATCTACTAATCATGACTAACCTCCATGCCAAATATGACTACTGTAGGTCAAAGGAATCTTAAGTTATTGGGCGGACAAGCTTTTTGAAGTCAAGGCCCCTGTGACCTTGACCTTTGACCTCAAAATCAATAGGGGTCATCTACTAATCATGACTAACCTCCATGCCAAATATGACGACTGTAGGTCAAAGGAATCTTAAGTTATTGGGCGGACAAGCTTTTTGAAGTCAAGGCCCCTGTGACCTTGACCTTTGACCTAGTGACCTCAAAATCAATAGGGGTCATCTACTAATCATGACTAACCTCCATGCCAAATATGACGACTGTAGGTCAAAGGAATCTTAAGTTATTGGGCGGACAAGCTTTTTGAAGTCAAGGCCCCTGTGACCTTGACCTTTGACCTAGTGACCTCAAAATCAATAGGGGTCATCTACTAATCATGACTAACCTCCATGCCAAATATGAAGACTAAGGGTCAAAGGAATCTTAAGTTATTGGGCGGACAAGAAAAAACCGACGGACGGCCGGACGGACGGACGGACGTCCGGCCGAAATGGAATAAGGGGCCATTTCTTTTGTTATTTTCTATTGTTTAATAGAGGGCCAATGGCCCCTTACTCTATTGTTACGGAATGAACTCTATTGTTCTCTTTTGTTCTGTTTACAGTTAGATGGCCCCCTATCCCTATTCGGTAGTGCGGACGGACAGCCGGACGGACGGACGGACGGACAAGCTGATTCCAGTATACCCCCCTAACAACTTTGTTGTGCGGGGGTATAAAAAAATAAAAAAGAACAAACAAACAAACTACTAAAACAACAAGAGGGCCATGATGGCCCTGAGGTCGCTCACCTGTATATAGCCCCCCCCCCACGGCCCAATTTTTACCCAAGGGCTTTTATTTGTTTATTTGAACAGACTTGGTAGACACCCATAAAAGTGTTTCATGCAAAACATCTAAGTTCTAGCTCATTGGGTTTTTTTTAAAAGAAGATTTTTTAAGTTTTTACTATACACATATAGTTAAAAATAATGACACCCCTCGGGCAGGGCCAGTTTTGACCCCTGGGCTTTTATTTGAACAAACTTTGTAGATATTTACTTAAAGATGTTTCATGCTTAATATCTAAACTCTAGCTATTTGGGTTTTTTCAAATAAGATTTTTAAGTTTTTGCTATACACATATAAGGAAAATCAATGACCCCCGGGGCGGGGCCAGTTTTGACCCCAGGGCTTTTATTTGAACATACTTGGTAGAAACCCATAAGAACATGTCTCATGCTAAATATCTTAGCTCTAGAAGTTTTTACTATATGCATATAGGGAAAATCAATGACCCCCCCCCCAGGCGAGGCCAATTTTGCCCCAATGCTTTTATTTGAACAAACTTGGTAGACATTCACTAGAAAATGTTTCATGCCAAATATCTTAGCTCAAGCTCTTTGGGTTCTTTAAAAGAAGATTTTTTAAGTTTTAACTTTATGCATATAGGGAAAATCAATGACCCCCTGGGGCAGGGCCAATTTGAACCCCAGGGTTTTTATTTGAACAAACTTGGTAGACATTCACTAGAAGATGTTTCATGCCAAATATCTAAGCTCTAGCTCTTACAGTTCTTTAAAAGAAGATTTTTTAAGTTTTTACTATATGCATATAGGGAAAATCAATGACCCCCTGGGGCGGGGCCAATTTTGACCCCAGGGCTTTTATTTGAACAAACTTGGTAGACATTCACTAGAAGATGTTTTATGCCAAATATCTAAGCTCTAGCTCTTACGGTTCTTTAAAAGAAGATATTTAAGTTTTTACTACATGCATATAGGGAAAATCAATGACCCCCCGGGGCGGGGCCAATTTTGACCCCAGGGCTTTTATCTGAACAAACTTGGTAGACATTCACTAGAAGATGTTTCATGCCAAATATATAAGCTCTAGCTCTTACAGTTCTTTAAAAGAAGATTTTTTAAGTTTTTACTATATGCATATAGGGAAAATCAATGACCCCCTGGGGCGGGGCCAATTTTGACCCCACGGGCTTTTATTTGAACAAACTTGGTAGACATTCATTAGAAGATGTTTCATGCCAAATATCTTAGCTCTAGCTCTTTGGGTTCTTTAAAAGAAGATATTTAAGTTTTTACTATATGCATATAGGGAAAATCAATGACCCCCTGGGGCGGGGCCAATTTTGACCCCAGGGCTTTTATTTGAACAAACCTGGTAGACATTCACTAGAAGATGTTTCATGCCAAATATCTAAGCTCTAGCTCTTACAGTTCTTTAAAATAAGATTTTTTAAGTTTTTACTATATGCATATAGGGAAAATCAATGACCCCCCGGGGAGGGGCCAATTTTGACCCCAGGGCTTTTATTTGAACAAACTTGGTAGACACTCACTAGAAGATGTTCCATGCCAAATAACTTAGCTCTAGCTCTTACGGTTCTTTAAAAGGAGATTTTTTAAGTTTTTACAATATGCATATAGGGAAAATCAATGACCCCCCGGGGCGGGGCCAATTTTGACTCCAGGGCTTTTATTTGAACAAACTTGGTAGACACTCATTAGAAGATGTTTCATGCCAAATATCTAAGCTCTAGCTCTTAGGGTTGTTTAAAAGAAGATATTTAAAGATTTTTCTTTCGGTTGCCATGGCAACCAGAGTTCTGCATGGAATTAAATTCTTTGAACAATTTTTAAAGGTGACCACCAAAGGAACATTCCTGTGAAGTTTGGATGAAATTGGCTCAGTGGTTTATGAGGAGATGTCATTTAAAGCAAAAGTTTACGGACGGACGACGGACGGACGACGGACGGACGGACGCCGGACGAAAAGCGATCACAAAAGCTCACCCTGTCACTTTGTGACAGGTGAGCTAAAAATGAAAATAAACTTCAACAGTTGATACAAACTTTAAAACATATACATTACGCTCACACCTGTAATTAGATAAATCAAGAATATCATTTAATGTATATTTTGGTGAAATAAACGCTTTCTTTTAATGTTCCAAATAAAATATTAGACTTTATGATCAACATGCAAATAAACAGAAACAGAAAAACGCATCTGACAATTGAAAGAGACGTCCTGGAATATTGCCTGAATAAATTGTTGAGGGTTACGTTTTCAAAGTTTTTAAATAAGAAACAAAAGCTGGCATATAAATTGTTGCAGTATCTTTTTCATAAATGTCATATGCCGAATTTTTCATTATTTGACTTAAAGTTTCTCACTACAATGAAATTGCGACACAATGATTTATCTTGATGTCGAATACATATTATACATTACCCAACACAATAACAAGAAGAAGAACAAGAAATACACTGCATGTACTTTTATTACAACAAAAAGAAAACAAACAAATTTTACATATAGTTATATGTACAGTACATGTTACAGTACGTACGTATACTGATGTTTAAATACATTAATTCATTTTTAAAATTTAAGGTTTCCACCGCGTTGACCGGTGTTTGACCGCCGCGTTCCTCCGCAATTTACCATTGCGTTCCGCGGGGGAAACGGTTTCAGCCGCCGATTTATGTCCGCGGTGGTGAAAATTTTCTGTCCGCGGGGTAACGCGGACAATATCTGAGCAAATTTTCGTCCGCGGTAAACCTCATCCGCGGTGTCACGCGGGTTTTGAAAAAGCCGCGCTGAGCGTACTGTATAGTTAAAAACAATGACACACCTGGAGCAGGGGCAGTTTTGACCCCAGGGCTTTTATTTGAACAATCTTTGAAGACACTTACTAGAAAATGTTTCATGCTTAATATCTAAACTCTAGCTATTCGGGTTTTTTTCAAAGAAATTTTTTAAGTTTTTGCTATACACATATAAGGAAAATCAATGTCCCCGAGGGCGGGGCCAATTTTGACCCAAGGGCTTTTATTTGAACAAACTTTGTAGACACTCACTAGATGTTTCATGCCAAAAATCTAAGCTCTAGCTCTTTGGGTTTTTTAAAAGAAGATATTTAAAGTTTTTTCTTTTGGTTGCCATGGCAACCAGAGTTCTGCGTGAAATTAAATTCTTTGAACAATTTTCAAAGGTGACCACCAAAGGAACATTCCTGTTAAGTTTGGATGAAATTGGCTAAGTGGTTTATGAGGAGATGTCATTTAAAGTAAAAAATTACGGACGACAGACGCCGGACGAAAAGCGATCACAAAAGCTCACCCTGTCACTTTGTGAGAGGTGAGCTAAAAACTGAAAATTGAGTAGCAAGTGAGATATTTAATCAAAAACAACCATGTGATCTGTGAGTGGTAAACAGTAACAAATAAATACAGCATTATTTTGAAAGCACTTTTTACATGAAATTATATTTTTCATTTACAAGTTCATTGTGCTGACTCTGGAGTGATTACATTACAAATCAATCTGACGTAAAATTCATATCAAAAACTCAAGCATAAAATCTCTTTTATCTTTCCTGGTCAATTGATCTAAAGATTTCTGTTAGTCATACATGTACATTTAACACATTGACATTTTTTCATGTGCTGGAATTGAAAAAGTGACAAAACTTGACAAAACTTCTATGATCAATTCATGACAGAAAATGACTCATACTTTGACTAGTTTTTTGAAGTATGCATGTGATATGCAACATTAACAATGTCTTGCCTGGTAAAATACAATTTTACAAGTTCAGAATATGCAAAGTTTCAGCGCTTCAATATTCTATGTTACCTAAAACCATTTCTATATAATAAGTATAACAAAACATTCCCTGAAATTCCACAAATTTTCACAACAAAACTTGATAGAAGCCACAATAGTTTATTTCAGTTATGCACAAGTTTATAGTAACCTCAGCACCTCCTTCCCGACAAAAAAGAGGGGACTTTTTTGCATTTATGATTTTTAAAACCACAGTAAACACTTAAACTTGCTGGTACAGTAAGAAACCAAAACCAATATACTGCAGGTTGGACATGTCTTCCATCTAAAATCCGCCACATTGATTAGGCAGTGAAGGTATTAAACAAATTTGGGTTGGGGTTTAAGTCACAACACTGTACAGCCATAATAGGTCATATGGCCACTAGTTTAACTGGAGGAAGAAGACCTCAGTTGCACTTCCATGCATTATTTCACGCACGAACAGGCACCTGAATAAAACCACACTGTTCTAATAGCCAAAGCTTTGAACTAAGGGTAATATTCCCCAATAGCTATGTAGAAACAGTCTCAATACACTTTAAATAAGATTGTTCAAATCTAGATTTTTATCTATCAATCACAATTAAGATCTGGTAGACATGTATTAAAATTTTGATTTTGTGATTTTGTTGTAATCACAGGTCTGATTAAAAAACTTGTGGCATATCATGTATATTTATTAGTTACAGACCTTAAGAGCTTAATTCCTGGCTGGAACTATTGGAAAAATGGAAGGTAAAAACGTGGCTCACCCGCATAATGTCCTAAACTGACCCAGGGTTAAGATGCTGGGGTTACAATTGACCTGTGCATTACATAATGATCAACTCATATGGCATCTGTAATATAACAAACAATTACAACGCCAAGGTCACAAATTTATGAATTATGTGGAAAAAAAAACTGACAAAAAAGTAAATAAGCCACTGACAATGACTCAATAATCAATTATTACAAATGTTCTTAGTTAAAAAGTGGCTTAATAATCTCCTAAAATATTGCTTTCAAAACAATGATCCTTGTCTAGCAAGTGCATATAGTCTTGATAAACAAGTAATGAAGTATTTCAAGTTTCAGATTGATGCCTGTCATATTTTGAAATCAGTGTATTTATCAAGTCCATTTCACAAAGATCAGTAAACAAGAGGGCCATGATGGCCCTGAGGTCGGTCACCTGTATATAGCCCCCCCCCCCGGGCCATTTTTTACCCAAGGGCTTTTATTTGTTTATTTGAACAGACTTGGTAGACACCCATAAGAAGATGTTTCATGCTAAACATCTAAGTTCTAGCTCATTGGGTTTTGTAAAAGAAGATTTTTTAAGTTTTTACTATACACATATAGTTTAAAACAATGACACCCCTGTGGCAGGGCCAGTTTTGACCCCGGGCTTTTATTTGAACAAACTTTGTAGATATTTACTTAAAGATGTTTCATGCTTAATATCTAAACTCTAGCTATTTGGGTTTTTTCAAAGAAGATTTTTAAGTTTTTGCTATACACATATAAGGAAAATCAATGACCCCCGGGGCGGGGCCAATTTTGACCCCAGGGCTTTTATTTGAACAAATTTGGTAGACACCCATTAGAACATGTTTCATGCTAAATATCTTAGCTCTAGCTCTTTTGGTTCTTTAAAAGAAGATTGTTTAAGTTTTTACTATATGCATATAGGGAAAATCAATGACCCCCTGGGGCGGGGCCAATTTTGACCCCAGGGCTTTTATTTGAACAAACTTGGTAGACACTCACTAGAAGATGTTTCATGCCAATATCTTAACTCTAGCTCTTTGGGTTAATTAAAAGAAGATTTTTTAAGTTTTTACTATATGCATATAGGGAAAATCTATGACCCCCTTGGGCGGGGCCAATTTTGACCCCAGGGCTTTTATTTGAACAAACTTGGTAGACACTCACTAGAAGATGTTTCATTCCAAATATCTTAGCTCTAGCTCTTTGGGTTCTTTAAAAGTAGATTTTTTAAGTTTTTACTATATGCATATAGGGAAAATCTATGACCCCCTTGGGCGGGGCCAATTTTGACCCCAGGGCTTTTATTTGAACAAATTTGGTAGACACCCATTAGAACATGTTTCATGCTAAATATCTTAGCTCTAGCTCTTTTGGTTCTTTAAAAGAAGATTGTTTAAGTTTTTACTATATGCATATAGGGAAAATCAATGACCCCCTGGGGCGGGGCCAATTTTGACCCCAGGGCTTTTATTTGAACAAACTTGGTAGACACTCACTAGAAGATGTTTCATGCCAATATCTTAACTCTAGCTCTTTGGGTTCTTTAAAAGAAGATTTTTTAAGTTTTTACTATATGCATATAGGGAAAATCTATGACCCCCTTGGGCGGGGCCAATTTTGACCCCAGGGCTTTTATTTGAACAAACTTGGTAGACACTCACTAGAAGATGTTTCATTCCAAATATCTTAGCTCTAGCTCTTTGGGTTCTTTAAAAGTAGATTTTTTAAGTTTTTACTATATGCATATAGGGAAAATCTATGACCCCCTTGGGCGGGGCCAATTTTGACCCCAGGGCTTTTATTTGAACAAACTTGGTAGACACTCACTAGAAGATGTTTCATGCTAAATATCTTAGCTCTAGATCTTTGGGTTCTTTAAAAGAAGATTTTTTTAGTTTTTACTATATGCATATAGGGAAAATCAATGACCCCCTGGGGCGGGGCCAATTTTGACCCCAGGGCTTTTATTTGAACACACTTGGTAGACACTCACTAGAAGATGTTTCATGCCAAATATCTAAGCTCTAGCTCTTAGGGTTGTTTAAAAGAAGATATTTAAAGATTTTTCTTTCGGTTGCCATGGCAACCAGAGTTCTGCATGGAATTAAATTCTTTGAACAATTTTTAAAGGTGACCACCAAAGGAACATTCCTGTGAAGTTTGGATGAAATTGGCTCAGTGGTTTATGAGGAGATGTCATTTAAAGCAAAAGTTTACGGACGGACGACGGATGGACGCCGGACGAAAAGCGATCACAAAAGCTCACCCTGTCACTTTGTGACAGGTGAGCTAAAAAAGGTGTATAACTAAAAAAATATTTTTTATAATAATGCTCTTTGCACCTTGTGATTTCAGATAGGCAAGTATTCCAAGTTTTGTGTTAATACCCTTTTAGATATTTGAAAAAAAAAGGTTTTGCATGACGACAAAGACAACAACTATGATGATGCAACAGTGAACAAAATAGTTCAACCTATTCCTCAAAATAGACAAGTTAAATAATGACAATACCTGTTGTACTGTGTACAGCACTAGCACCAATTTTTATACTATTCCAGGTAACAACATAACTGAAACAAACTTGATTACTTTTAAATTTACATGCCACGCTTTCTCCTTCATTTTAGCGCATGTAACTTATAAATAAGTCCAATATTCTAAATTTTTAACAGCACGTCATTTCAATTTTAATCTCCACAACATACAATGATTACAAATTCACATGTTGTTTATTTTTTACGCACATAATCTTTACTTCTGGTAGCAGGTAAATTCCAATGGTACAATACTTCACATGTAATATGCACACTATGCACATAGCATGTTTATATTTATCAGCACACACAGTGATAATATTATCATATTATCATCAGAACAATGATAATCAGTACTTCTAGAATCATCTGCAATCACTGCAACTATTGTCAACTGATCTAAACCTTCATCTAGTTTCTCACAAAGTGTTTCAGTTTTTATCTTCACCTAGTGTTTCAGTTTTTATCTTCACATAGTGTTTCAGTTTTTATCTTCACATAGTGTTTTTGTTTTTATCTTCACATAGTGTTTCAGTTTTTATCTTCACCTAGTGTTTCAGTTTTTATCTTCACATAGTGTTTCAGTTTTTATCATCACATAGTGTTTCAGTTTTTATCATCACATAGTGTTTCAGTTTTTATCTTCACATAGTGTTTCAGTTTTTATCTTCACCTAGTGTTTCAGTTTTTATCATCACATAGTGTTTTTGTTTTCACCTACAGAGTGTTTCTGTTTCTACATACACATAGTGTTTTAGTGTTTAAATAACCTTCACAGCTTCACCTAGTGTTTCAGTTTTTATCTTTTCACAGTATTTGTGTTTCCCCCAACAGATTGTTTCTGTTTCTACCTACACATAGTGCTTATGTCTTTTACATAGTTTTCTTAAATTTACATCACAAACAGTGTTTCTGTTTCCATCAGCACACAGTGTTGCAATGTTTATCTGCACATAGTATTTCCATCTCCATATAGTGTTGCAGTTTTAATCTTCACATAGTGTTTCTGTTTCCATCTCCATATAGTTCTGTAGTTTTCACATTTACCTGCACATAGTGTTTTCATCTCCATATAGTGTTTTACATCTGCACATTTCACCTCCATATAATACTGCAGTCTTCATCAGAACAGTACATTATATTGAAGTTTTCATCTTTACATACAAGATGGGGTTAAGCACATGTTACAGATCTTCATCATCAGGATCTGTTTCCATGCCAGAATCCTCCAACACTTTATCCTCACAACTGTTATAAAAAATATATTAAACATCTTCATTTAAACTATTTAATTCTTCAGTCTCTATTAATCTATAAAATAGTCCATAAAATATTGCTATGTTAATACCATAACTAATAGCTACATGGCGAATTATATTACAATAGACTTGCAGACCCTACTTTATATATTTATCATGTGCTAACATAGACTTGCAGACCTTACTTTATATATTTATCATGTGTTAACATAGACTTGAAGACCTTACTTTATATATCATGTGCTAACATAGACTTGCAGACCTAACTTTATATATCATGTGCTAACATAGACTTGCAGACCTAACTTTATATATCATGTGCTAACATAGACTTGCAGACCTTACTTTATATATTTATCATGTGTTAACATAGACTTGAAGACCTAACTATATTTATCATGTGCTAACATAGACTTGCAGACCTTACTTTATATATTTATCATGTGCTAACATAGACTTGCAGACCTTACTTTATATATCATGTGCTAACATAGACTTGCAGACCTTACTTTATATATCATGTGCTAACATAGACTTGCAGACATTACTTTATATATCATGTGCTAACATAGACTTGCAGACCTTACTTTATATATCATGTGCTAACATAGACTTGCAGACCTTACTTTATATAGCATGTGCTAACATAGACTTGCAGACCCTACTTTATATATTAATAATGTGTTAATGTTTTTGGTAAAACTGAGTATCCTTGCATAAATCAACTAAATATACATGTACCTCATACAAAAGGACAAGTGCTCAGTACTATTCCTCTACGTTGTATGACTGACCCTTTTTTAAAACTTTTAAAAGTTGGTATATAGCAATATTATAATCATTCTCTAAAAATGACAGTCTGTGAACTTGATGACTGAAATGCCTCAATAACTGTGACAGGTACAAAATGAGTGAAATAAATAAATAAATGCATTATCTGTATCTAATAAGAAATAATCTGTAGGTATGAGGCAACATTATAGTTAGTACCCTGAAAATCAATACTTACAATTGTGCTTCCATCATGTCAGTTTGTTCAGTATTATTGTCATTATCTTCACACAAATCATCATCTCCTTTATCTGGTACTATCTGTGGACTCCACAATACTATCTCCTGACATGGGTTCTTTCTGTAAAATATATTTATAGATTATTTTAACATTATTATCAAAAGTCCAAATACAATGTACTTGTACCTTATGTATTTATGATAGAAGTCCAAGATAGATTGATTTATGTTCTCTTGCCCACAAGTTAAGTTATGGTCAAAGTAATATATCTCAAATCGGTTAGCAAGAACAAGTTGGACTGCGTAAAATCAACCTGTAGTGAGTTGATTCAGGTGTGTGGAATAGCTCTCTAAATTTATCTATATATAAAGTTCAAATAAAATATTCATGTCAAGGGAGACAACTGGATTAATGCAGTCTGCATCAACTATCAAGAGTTATTAATCCTTGACATGTTCAAATAATGCACCACATTTTGCTCTGTTATGTTTATAAACTTAAATGGCTTAAACTTACTAAATACATCTAAAGCATGTTTTGGTACAACAGCTGAAGTACAGTAAACTCCGCTAATAATGATATACAGGGGCAGCCAAATTTATATTTTTACATCCAGATATTGTTATATCTGGCAGACAACCAATTTGAAAACGAGTCAGGACAGCGGCAACATGAAATAGTATTCAAAATATAAAATCAATTCCACAAAAGGTTCTGTTAAAAAGACTGTGCAAAACCGTACCTGAAATTCTATATTAAAATGAGGGCATATTTATATCAATATACATGACACAGTGTATAGTGTTGAACTCTTGTCTGCAAGTTGGGTTGATGGACAAGGAAAAGAATTTAAAGTTTCAAAGTAATACCAAAATGTGGTTCAGTTATAAATGGAATGTTAAAATAAAAGTGACGGTGGAACAAAGAGCTAAACAGAAATTCCACACCCATGCAAACACTGACACCCAAGTTAACAAGTATAGTCTATATGTCTTCCTATTCTTCAAACAGTCAAGCTTAAATGACTTACATTCTATCAATTATATGTCGTGGAAGAACTTCCTTTGGCGTTACATTTATACCATCTACAATATGTAATACTGGCTCACGTTTTGATGTGTCTTCATTGTCTGATGTAGTATCTTCATCTATCATCTGTAACCTATAATCATTTATCGACTTATGTAATCATATACAATCACTATATCATAGTTACAGTAGGTTTACTCTTAAAACTTTTATAAACTTTGCGTAAAATAAATACAAAACTACTGGGGTGTGGGTGCATTTATACAAGGGTATATGGTACATAAAACAACAACTTGACGTTGTCAGATTCAATATATTAACGATATATACATGTATCTTAATTTTGAGTGTGATGTAGCATCATTCACACTTCAAGTTCAGATGTGCAGTTATATAATCATTAAGGCTGGTTCCCTGGAGTGTGATTCATTACATAGCATCTGAGTAATTAACCATACAGTACTATTCTACAACATAAATCATATTTGTATTCATTTCCATCCTTATATCATATACTAAAATAAATTAAACAGAAGTGACAAGATAAAAAGAAAAAGTTTGATGTGTGTTAGAATATGAAATATGAGCCGCATGACGACAAAACCAACGTAATGCGTTTGCGACCAGCATGGATCCAGACCAGCCTGCGCGTCCGCGCAGTCTGAACAGGATCCATGCTGTTCGCTAACAAACCCTATAACAAGTTGAGAAACTGATAGCGAGCAGCATGTATCCTGATCAGACTGTGCGGATGTGCAGGCTGGTCTTGATCCGTGCTGGTCGCAAACCCATTTTGTTGGTTTTGTCATGACGCAGCTCATATGTATTAAAGGAAAGTTTTTCATTCATTTTAGAAGTTTTTACAGTAAAATCATACTTTTCTTCAAGAAGTTTAAAGTCATGCCACTGCCTTTGACTGTGTCTCAGAAATTCATTATTACAAGTGTTGTGATTATTCTGTCCTGGGTAACAAGTATCAGACATGGGATCTCCACCTACAGACAGTATTCCTCCCTGACTAGTATCCACATGATCACCTGTAAAATGTAACCAATGTTAAAAGTGATACAAATTAAACTGTTTCAGTCATTAAAATACAAAACTAATGTGATATATATATACATGTATATAATTTTATATTTAACAAGTTCTTTACAATTAGGTTTTTTACTTTATTTCTTACAAATGTCACAAGGTGAGAATAATGTGCAGCCTGACCGGGACTCAAACCCGGGACCCTCTGAATACCATACCGGGGTTATACTGACTGAGCAATGCGGCTGCTTACACATCTTCTCCCTTAAATAGTGAACAGTTCTGAAAAGTGACATACTCCTGGTCCCCTGCCATATTGAAATTCCAGAGCTTCCTAGCAATGTTAACTAAACTCTGAGCTATATAGAGTCACTGCCCCCTGTTGGGCGCAAATGTCACAGGGTGAGAAAAATGTGCAGCGTGATTGGGGCTCAAACCCGGGACACTCAGAATACCGTACCGTGACTCTATCGACTGAGTTATCCGGCTGGTTACACATCTTCTTCCCTAAATAGTGAACAGTTCTGAACCATGACACAAATGCACGTAGAAAAGAATGGTACAAACCTGGCTGTAAGACAGAACCTGGCTGTAAGACAGTACCTGGTTGTAAAACAGAACCTGGCTGTAAGACAGAACCTGGCTGTAAGACAGTACCTGGTTGTAAAACAGAACCTGGCTGTAAGACAGAACCTGGCTGTAAGACAGTACCTGGTTGTAAAACAGAACCTGGCTGTAAGACAGAACTTGGTTGTAAAACAGAACCTGGCTGTAAGACAGAACCTGGCTGTAAGACAGTACCTGGTTGTAAAACAGAACCTGGCTGTAAGACAGTACCTGGTTGTAAAACAGAACCTGGCTGTAAGACAGTACCTGGTTGTAAAACAGAACCTGGCTGTAAGACAGAACTTGGTGGTGGTGAGATGTTGTGTATCCGCAGATCCTTCATGTGTCTTGCTATTTTATCTTCTGTTAAATGTATCTTATTGTTTGGACATTCCTCCCTACAAGTACACATAACAACAATGCTCAGTTAATTTTTTAATGTGAACAAAAACTGCAATAGAAATGACAATGATATTTATGGTTCTAAAAAGCAGTGCCAATTTTACTGCATGTTCCAACAAATATCTTGTTCTTTCTACCAAAGTTTTTGGTAGTTAAGCTTAGGGTTTAATAAACAAGGTGATACAACTGTAATTATGATAGTCATCAAAATAGATACGAGATACACAGGACATCATTTATCATCATTTTAGGAAAACCATCAACTCAGCAACATGACAAGTCTGGGTCATATAGGAGAATTGGGGGGGGGGGGAACACTTTTAATCTATCAGATGGTCCAAAAGCTCAACTATTCTCAGTGTTCAAATAGTATAATAGAAGCAAGTTCAAAATACAATGCACTGTAGATGAAAATTGTAGTTATTTGTCTTGGTAAGTCACTAACAATTATGACTATCTAGAGATATATGAAGTTTTAAATGAAAACATTCAATGTTTATGGAGATCCAACTCTATAAATTTTCTAATGTAACATACTGAAATTGAACAGTTATAGTAAATGTTCAAGAGTTTTGTGTCTTAGACAGTGACCTACAATATAATTTTAACCTAAAATAAATGTGTATAAGTTTACACAGTTCAGTAGAATACATACCCAATAGAGTCTACTGTATGCCGTCTTTTATGTCTCCTAGTGAGTTCACTACACGAGGCCACTGGCTGGTACCTACACAAAGTGATAAGCAGGTATAAAAACTGATGCTGTATATTGAACTATGTATCAATTGACGAAGCTAATAAAGCGAAACATGTTTTGATATTTAAATTTGTGTTAGTTTTGATCTATTTGTCCCATATATTGAACTATATAAAAACAAAGCAAACTTGCTTTACTTGCAAAAAAAAACCAACTGTACATGACATGTAAGAACTCTTCCATGTTCAAACAACAAATGAATCATAAGAATATGACTAGTGAAAAGAACTTACATTTGTGGAGAATAAAGAGTGCTAGTTCCAGCAATGTGTTGTGCTTGTAGAGGGATGGAACATGCCCCTGATGACTGAATTCCTGAAACACATAATTGTATTATATGAGATTATGAGATTTTAACATACATTAAAAATATCACATAAAGCTTTGCTAAAGTCTGAAATAACAATTAATGATAGTAAATTAATAGAGAAAGACAAAATGTGTGTTATTCTAGGGAAATAAACATAACAGCAAGTAACATAGGAAATATCAAAAGTATATAATTCATTTGCAACAGTTCAGCTTTTACAATTGCCTATTGCTGGAAGTTTACTTCATTTTAAATTTAAAAAGACACATGTATGGAGAAATGTGGGTTGGTACAGATAACTTTTGGGTTATAAAAGACGTAAATAATCATTAAGATTAAGATCAGAAGCAAGTTGTTATAAAAGACGTAAATAATCATTAAGATTAAGATCAGAAGCAAGTTAAAAGGTAGATTATACCTGTAAATACTGAAAGACCTTGAGGGCAGGACACAGAGCTATGGGGTAACCATGGCATTTTCCTTGGCACTGAATGTTTCCACTGGGCATTACAACCAGGTGCAAAAGTCTGTGGCCTTAATCTTGTGTTATGAAATTGGGTAGTAGCTGTTAATGCTGGAGAATGTAGATAGGACTGAGTTGGTGTTGTAAATGTGAAATTACTCACACTTGGATTCTTAGTACCTATATTATATGATGAGCTACTCCAACCAGAAATTTGAGATAAGTTTGAACTGAGAGGTCCCTGGTGTTCACATAAATCTGGTGGGTTCATTTCAACTTCAATACCCGCTGGAGAAGAAGACAGATCTTTCACTTGAGAATCTAAAGAATGAGTTCCTGTCAAATCTAGTTGAGAATTATGAGGTACATTGTCAGCAACATTTGTCATTATTCCAGTAGAATCTAATGCACAATTCATCCCAGCTGCTTGGACAGCTAATACAGGACTTGTTGTGATATCAACACCAGGTACTGTTGTTTGTGGTCCTAGCGGTGCTAATAGTATCTGGAAACCTTCACTTAGGCGGGATACTCCAGGTAGATAGTTGTTGTTGTTGTTCATCATAATGAAATCCTGAGTCGGTGAACGCACCTGACTTATGTTAAATTGCTGGCTCATCATCGTTGATAGCACAATAAACAGTCTACATTTAAAATAAAAAATATATTATGATAAGTACTTTAATTTTGAAAGTAATTCAAAAAGTTATACGATATGAGTCCAACTCATTAGCAATACAACAAACAAGAACATTAAGAAAATGATGATTGTTTCAGACATACATGCACAAATTTAATGGACTATTTGTTGTTTTTTACAGAAATTTATAAAATGTTGCTCTATTTTACACAAAAATCTAGACATGTTAACTATTTTGCACAAAAACTTTGTTGTTTAGGTGTGTGAATAAAATATGTGTCAATTCTGACCAATTTTAGTGATGTTGAGTATAGCTTGAGGATATTTCCTTACATTACAGGCAATTAAACCTTACAATGTCTGCATATATCATGTTGTTGAGAAACATACTGCCACCGAGTTTCTGGTTGCAGAGATTACATTATCCTTATTTTAAAAATATCTATATCGAAGAGTTTGTTAACTGTATTTCATGCTAAGTATTAAAAATTATGTTTAATGGAAAAAAATTTAAATGTTAATAAAATTCTAATCATAGATCTAATTAAAATAAACATATAAAAGCATGTATTAAAATATATCAAAAATTAAAGTTTAGAAAAATAAACGTAGTTACAGCATATATAGTACTGCATTTCGTACTGATATCGCCGTGAAGTAACAAAGATGATACTCACTTGCTAAAGTTTTAGACGTATTGCCGTATCCGCCTTCTACTGCACTTCCTTTATGTTTGAACTATTGAAAATATTTTTACAGAAATCATTGTCTTAGAAGCTGATTGTCCAATTGATATATTTTCTATCCAAAATATATCTTGTGATGCATTGGTAATTGGCCAATAATCATTAAACAATAAAATTTCTAATTTACTTGTTTGCCGTAAAGTAAAACGATGGTGTCGCTAAATGCTATCGCTTCGTATGCTGTAGAAACTTTTCGAACAATCGAGATAGATCTAGTGGGTAGTAGTTTTTTACTTTGACAGAAACATTGCTTAAATTGATGGCTGGCTAATGATAAAACTGCGGAGAACTGTTTTACTTAATTCAGGGCCTGTCAAATATTATTTGAAAGACTCTGTTCATAAAGTGCTTCATAAATTATGAACGCGTTTTAAGTAACACCGTATTCTTTCCTGGCCTCAAGATTATAAAAAATTTTTCTGAGTCTCAGCATTTTCATTGGTCAGTATACATGCATATCTAGTTTCTGACCAATCAAATACTGGAGATTTGAGTAGAAAAAAAATCGTTATAACCTTAATTGGACCAGTCACTCTTCAAACCCAAGCCACGGAATAACAGATTTAGATTATCAATTCTCCGGTACAGGCTATGCCCTGTAGACTAATCAATCGATATAGGATTCCTGTTAAATGAGGGTACATGCCTTTCAATCCGTCACTGTTTACTAGGGGCTCACGCTCGACCGCGGGGCCTATAGTACCCTACCGCGACCCTGCATTCTCTATAGGCCCGTTAAGGCGATACAGTACGGAGTAGGTACGGAGAACGGACTGCAGGCAATTAGCACCATAACGTACGTATGCCTTATGACACTAGATAATAAAGGAGATAGACTTGATGAGGGTAGATGGTGCCAAGCAAATGGCATGGCTTTCAATTATCTATAAATTATGCACTATAGTAGCTCATGCGCGCTACAGAACCCTTTCCCCCTTGGTTTAGCAGATCAAGTGAGCTTCAAATCTTCTGCTAAAGCCCTTTTATTCTGAATGACGTGCAAGTAACGTACCGAGAAGATCACTGATAGAACGAGTGTGACAAACATACATGTACCTCCTGCTATTTTGACCTCAAAACAAAACACCATCATAGAGTTTGAATGTCACATCATGTCCCGTGCTTTTGTTTTATAGGTCAAGATATTCAGTGAGTCACGGAGTAAGCTAAAATTCGGACGGAGAAAAGATTTTATGTAATAATTTTAATTTATATATGGTATATATCACAGGTGTTCGGCGCGTTGGTTGGTCGATAAATACCCCCACTTTACCCGTCAATTTAAACAACCTTCCTGTACATCCTATTCCCCACACACAAAAAATGATACATATATATTTACTAAATATATATGTATCGTTTTTTATTATTTTTGGGGGGAACTGGCGGAAATAGAATTAAAAGCCTACTTCAAAAACTAAAAATGAAAAATATTGCAGTTTATATGGTTTTGGCGAGGTTGAAGGGTTGTAGAGGGGTGGGGGTGTAGTGACCAATCAATGCACCGAACACCTGTGGAGAGAGAGAGAGAGAGAGAGAGAGAGTAATAATTAGCAAACGTTACGTGCAAACGTTACGTAAAGCATAATTATAATTACACTGATCTATCCTTCCCCATCGGTACGTGCACAACGTGGAGTGGCACAGGACAGGACACCGGCAGGTGAACCACTGAAACGTGTAAGACGGAAAAGTCACATGCGTCCTAAGGCCCGGGTTATATTGAGGGTGACGAGCCCTTTGCTCAACAACTGCACTTATCAGGGTATTGTCACACGTAAGTTTAGGTGCTTAAAAGGCAGTACAGTGACCTACTTTCGGCTTAAAATTCCGTTGGCTTATACTCTGTACGTGGACATTACAGGGAGGTAAACTTGCATGTGTGTATCCCCAATGTGTTTCATTATAATTAAGGGCATAATTGGTCACATGTCCGGAGTCCGTACTCGAAAGCGAAACTTTCGCTCCGTGACCCTGCTTTTCGGGCGGATGGACCCTCATTTAAATACACTACATTACAAATGCTTCATTTCTTATGGATGTAACCAATCTCCAAAACTTTTTAAGTATTCATCAAAACGTGAGAGTCTGTTTGAACGCATCAGGCATACTTAAGAGACGCCAGGTTTCTGGGCAATATGTCTACTCGGTGGACGTCGGGTGGTGCGGGTGACATTTCTTCAAGGTATGATTGACAACTGCACTGTCTCGTAAGATCTGTGGGACGATTTCCATCCTCAATATTGCGAAATCAAGGAACTGGCTCTAGATGTATCTTCCAAAATGCGACCCTTTAATTATTTGGTTGGCTTCATGTTGGCCAACGTGGTGCTGATATATGCTGGACAATCTTACGAGCAAGACGTTATAGAAGAAATCACTATCCGCGTCAGAAGGGCTGCCATCTTATATCGAAATTCGGCAAGCCTAGTTATCGGGTCTTTCGAGACGTCAAAGAACTACTTTACAACAGTTCTCATCCTAACTCCAGAGACTACACAAGTACACTGAAAGACATCTGTTCCTTCTACGATGTCGGCCTAGACAAAAACCGCCGTAATGTTCAGCCTGTTTCCGAGAACACATATCATGTCCGTGAACAAGAGTGTCGTCAAATTAAGTGTCGTTACAACGTTAAATTCATACAACGATTAACAGACAGTTCACCTCTCAGACAATCTACGACAATGGAAAAAGAGAACAGTCTATATTGAAAGTCACACAAATTTACTTATCTCAGTCATTATATAGCTGTATTATTGTTGTTTTTTCTGTTGTTTTTTCTGTAAAGTAAATCTTGATATAGATGTTAAAATATTAAAAAGATATACCAAACATACTTTCTTGAAATGATTTTCATTCTTTATTATATTCTTGGGCTAGTTAAAGCAGTTTATTAATGTTCACCCAAGTTAGTTATTGATTGTCAATTTTAATTTTATAATAGATTAATATTAATTTTGTTGATGTGACATTTCGTATACACTATCTTTTTTATCTTTCTGTGAGTATTAAAGACTAAAGAAAATTCATTTTATGATGATTAAATACGGGATATATTATAAGTTATGTACGTGTCCAAGTAATAGCATTAAATATATCATTTCGACGTGACACACAATGCAACACAATTTGTTCATGCAGTAAAAACAGAGACTTATAATACATAATGATTGATACTACAAATAATAAAACTACGTTCCAGCATTGCTTGAAAATGAATATGTGACGATATAGGTTTTTATTTTACGTGGGATCATGCCCCCGGACCCCTTGCACAGTTCCATGACAGAAGTTTGACCACATCACTGATAAAATGCCAACAATGGGCTTATATTCCATATACATATTCAGATACCGTTCGTTCTGTCAAAAAAAAAACAACAAGGATAACTTAAAAGGGACGTTTTCATTGCTTTCCCATTAACATTTACGCGCTTTAATTAAAGTATTGATTGCCGAAACAACTCCTGCACTTTTCCAGCCCTAAGGCTTGTTTGCGTGGAATAAGATATCGGAAAACTTTGAAAAAATGAAATATCAATTTGGTCATATCACGGACTTTAATTGGCAATTTAAGTCCGTGGTCATATAGACCTTTTTTCGACGCGGTCCGTTGCTATGAAAAATTGACCGGAAGTAGTATTTTTTCGCATATGCGCAATTTGCGTAGGGCAAAAAGAGCCATACTCTACATAGAAATGTAGTAGAAATTCATAGACAATTCCGAGTTAGTTTAAGGAAAAATTAGAAAATCATATAAGATAGCTTTTAACAGAAACACAAAAGATGCCTTCATAGCTTTAATTTGTGGCCAATATTTCCCAAAAAGGCATTGAAAAGGGCGATTGTTTAAGAATTCCCCCTTACGATCACGGACCTGACATTGAGATTATTGTTGTAAAAAAAATGTTGAAATATATAAAAAAAATATATTAGCAAATAAAGAAGTCAATTTAATTGTTGTTGAAACCGTCCATATAAAAACTTTTTTTATAACATATAATATACAACATTTTTATATAAATTTTATAACATTTAAAATAGAGGTTAATTATCATTCTGAAAGAAAAGTCGGAACACATGATATAATGCATTTTCAGTTTAGCTAATTTTATCCTTTATCCGACTTGACTAATCAAAAAAAAATTTAAGTCACATATATATTTATAATTTCAAACTCTTGAGAAGTTAAGATGGGTGGTGGATAACACAAATTTTGTCCGGTTCCTTGTAACACACGGAAAATGCACGTCACGTACACTATTTGTCGCCTCACAAAATCAATAGAATTGATGAGATTGGTATTAATAAAAGTTATTAAAATTACGATTAATCATTTTCATAGCTTTAAGTTATTTACTATGTCATGGTACTAAAACAACCCGCCTGAATGATATTGTAAACTAGCTGGCAAATAAAAACCGGTCACGTGTCAATCTATTTGACACTTCCCGCCTTGCCTATCCACTTTCAAAGGAATACCAATTGTGTAATATTATGTAAAACATGGGCAATAAAATGTGATCTTTAACACCCTTATGTTTTAATTTAAATTACTGATGAAAAGGTCACCTAATGATCCCTTGAACAGAGGACTTTTGGTCGTTGAATAATTTTGTATATCTGTTATAAATATCAATTCACGTTTTAAGTACTTACCGCTTTAATTCATTCCAAAATTTCTTTTTTGGGTGACATAACTTGAAAACACGCCTTTTAAAGCCTTTAAGTACGCTAAAATGTATTCTATCGTTAATACGATTTTGCCCTACGCAGAATACGCATGCGCGAAATGCAACATACGTTGCTATGGAAAAATCGTACTTTAAAAAGGTGTATAATACAACATCCATGTGTTGTACGAAGATTCTGTTGAATATCCAGGTTTATGTAAAGACTTGGTTTAATTTTTGTTGTGAAATTCATTCCACCATCATAAAATAATTGTATAAATTGTGCTATATCAGTTCTTAACTTCCAATCGTTTGTTTGTTGTTTTTTTATTTATTTGTACCAAATGATCATCCAATATTTCTCTTTTTGACGCTGACGTGTTTGATATATTATACATGATAAGTATCCTATATTGCAATATTAAGTGCGTTGGCCTTCTACTCAGAGCGTCGCAACGCCAAACTAGTCGTATTTATGTAAAATATAGAATAAAAAGATTAATAAACATCAAACATGTACAATATTGGTTTATCTAATATGGTTTCTTTTTGCAGCTGTGTTCTGGTCTAAATGCATTCCCTTATTGTACAGTTTAATGTTAAATAACTTTTAATTATGCTGCACCTTTTTTATATGATTGGACGCGACACGACCGGTGTTGGGATAGTGTTACAAAAAGTAATTATATACATTATATATATATATATGTGTGTTTTCTAGAATCACTTTTTACACACAGTATATATTTTTTCTTGAATTACTTTTTACACATAGTATATAATTTTTTTCTGGAACTACTTTTTACACTATTGTCTCGGGTTCCCGTGTTTTTAATGTGATTCGGTCATATACGGTTATTTCCGCGAAAAAGAATACTTTCGCGACTAATTTCGACAACTTTCGCAATCGCAAATTTCCGGCCCCTTTCCGTCAATCTTCGTTCGAGAATAACTGGTGGCGGCAAACGTCGTAAACATCCGAAGGTTAATGAGCTCATAGGGCGATACGATGTAAGAATCGAGGAATAAAAGTTTTAAACATGTCTCAGGAACCTAAGCCAGTCTTAGCAGAAATCTGGCCGACAGATATTTCCGGAACTAAATATGGCATAACTGTGGCAACAGTGTCATCTTTAGTATTTTATTTGTTTAGTTTGATTAGCGAGTTTGTCACGCCTAACAAAATCGTAGAGAAGCAACGATGGAGATGGAAAAATATATCTGTTTCTCTCATTCACGCTATAATAAGTGGAATATGGTCCGTGTTATGGTAAGTTGAACTTGAAAATTTACAATATTTTCACGCTGCCTTTTTCCACAGGTCGAAGAGTCTGGCAACCTGTTGAATAATTTTGATTTATTCGAGTTGGTGTAAGCGACATACATGTAGATAAGAAATGTAAACAAAGTTAAAAAAGTAATTAAACAATTGTTCTGCTCTTTTTCAGCTTTGCAGAAGAACCAAAAATGATGGAAGATTTAATACAAACAAGCACTGTTACAGGGCACACGCTTATTTCAGCTTCTGTAGGTAAGTATTAAGAATTAGAACAATCACTCAGTTACGTAAGTTTTGACATGTGAATGACATAAATAAAGTGCTTGTGCACTGAACAAAAATAATATGGCATGTTAAGTTGAAAGGTCATATAAACAATAATAACATGGCATGTTAAGTTGAAAACGATTTTGAAGCAGTATGAACAATGATGTAGATCTATATGAGAATGAAATTACACAGCTAATTTGTACTAAATTTATGAAATATATATATGAGCTTAATCATTTTATATGAATAGGGGGGCCATGTCATGAATGTGGGTGTGTATATATATGCAGGGCATTCTTGTCAAAATTGTGAAAGGGCCTGGGGCGGGCCTGTTCATTTTGTGAAAAGAGGGCGATATGTCATAAAATTGTGGGAGGAAAAGGCATTTTACTTGGCATTTCGCGACATTTTGAAACCGGAAATGGTTGATAATAATTTCTGACATGTGTAAAATCTGCTGCAAGTTGGTCAGTGTTTTTTCTCACTTTATTGGGAAGAGGCCTTAGCCTTTTGATTTTGGGAAAAAATTATCACTAAAATTGCTGATTTGGGAAGTAAAAAAGCTGGTTTAAGTTCAGTTTTTTGGGAAAACTGCATGATTTTAAAGAAAATTTCAATTGGGAAGATGCCTTTTTTGGGAGTCTGTTATATAAGTAGTAAAATCACTGTTGGTACATTAACCCGGTAAACATGCACAAAACCATTTAACTTGATTAAAACTATTTCTGTGTTCTTGCGATTGGCGTAAATTAAGTTTTACCGGAAGGTAAACAATGTATTTCAAAGACAAAGTCCCAATATTTTTTGAAATCTCTTTAGAAATTGTGAATTTTTTTCTGCCACTTTGTGAAAAAAAAGTGCAATTTTGAATTGTGAAGGGGTCTTATATCGGCCCCTGTTATAGAAGGAAAAAATGCACTGATATGTGTGTGTTGAAAAGGTTTATAACATTAATAATAATACACCCATAAACAGTTTGATTTAAACTATGTAAAAAACTGAGGTATGCTTTTCTCTCATCGATTCGTGACTCTTATTTGGAAAAATTGCACTTGCACAACAAATATCAGACATACGTACAGTTCAATTAGTGCATTTGTTAAATTAATTCATTATCTAAAAGTTCAAAATCTTTAAATTACTTCTAAGAACAACCGCTCAAAGATTAGAGCATCTGAACATGTCAACCATGACTGTCTTGCTCAGCTGGACGCTTACCCATCGAATCGTGAAATTCGATTCACCCTGTGACGTCATCAAAATATAGGTGCTCACACCACTAAATGTTTGCATGGTTATTTTCAGTCCGATCTGATCAATATATGTTTCAAAGTCTTAAGTAAATTCTTACAGCATAATGAATATTTTTTTGGCTTAAGTGTAAGTGTGTTTGATAAATTAAAACATCAATATCGAATATTTTAAAATAATTAGGTCACCTGCTGATTGTAGGGTAAGGTCATATACACCTATTTAATTACGCATTTTAATTGGATAAAATTGTCAAATCGAGTGTCTAATAAAACTTGTGTAGTTTTCGGATGGTGTGTTTTCTCACAGAAGAATTTATACCAGACAATTATTTAGTTCACGAATCGATGAGAAGGCACGAATCGATGAGAATAAGGCATATATCGAGTTAAAAATACAAGTTGTTTCCAATATCTCCAATTAAAATCAGTATCTCTTATGCTAAAACAATACAAATTAAATTGTTTTTAAATCGCTAGTTTGTTCGGATTTATTGTCCAATTTTAAAATTTATAATACTAAAATGGAAAGCTTGCAATCTTAGCTTCATCACAATATATACTTCAACACATCTTTTGACACTAAAGTATTTAAAATAACTGTTAAACCTACCATATTTCAGACCATTTTATGATTCATACAGTGAGATACGCAACCTTTTTTTACCGGAAAAACTACTGATAAGAACAGCCTGTCATCTGCTTGTTCGGAAACTGTTTATCATTTAATTTGTTTTTGATCAAAACTTCTGCATGCATGATGGATTTCAAGAAAAACTGGTACAAATAACCATCTTAAATACATTATAAACTGTGCACAATGTCAGTGAGACAGTAACCAGAGCTCAAGATAATTTAGTTTTCAAATGGTTAGTAACAACCTCTTTGAAAATTAATTGGGTTAACCATGTTTTAAAGTTTCTTTTCGAGGATACTTGAAATGTCTATTTTTAAAGAACTTAGAACATGTACTTGAAGTACTATAAAACAAAATTGTAAAACAGATCATAGTCAACAGCATGTACAAACACGGTAAAGGGTCACATCAGTCCTGTGAATAGTATGATAAAAACCTATGAGGATATACACTGAGAGGATGTTCTAACTAGACCTTTGGTTAATCAGCTATATTTTTTAATGTATTGATCAATTTAGGTTATATTTCGGATATTTATTACTACACATAAGATGCATACTTCTGTAGAATTTTATTCAAATCTCATTTCGATAAAATGTCAAACTTAACAGAAAAAAACAGTCTTATAAAAAGTCAAAGTCGCAAAATGGCGGCAAAATAACAATGTGAAAAGTCACTCAACAATATCACTTAACTGTCCTGGTAAAACTCTCTGGTTTAATATTTGGTGTGACCACCTCTAGCTCTCACTAAGTGAACACATCGTTGTCTCATCGACATAACATAGTTTGAAATAGTCTGCTGAGGAATGTTGGCCCATTCTTGGATCAGCATCTGCTCTAACTGAACAAGATTTGCGGGCGGATTCGGTCCGTTCCGAACACGGCGGCCAAGTTCATCCCACAAATGCTCAATGGGGTTCATGTCCGGGGATTTAGACGGCCATGGAAGAACTCTCACTTGTTGCTGTCGTAGAAGCCTCTCCGTGGTCGCAGCTGTGTGCGGGGTCGCCCCATCCTGCATCAGAACCATACCTCGCCCACCGGCACGCAGGTGAGGAATGGCCTCCGGAATCAGAATCTCCTGTTGATATCTCAAAGCGTTGAGATTACCACGGATGACTACGAGGTTGGTCTTAGTATGAAAGGAAATCCCAGCCCAAACCATCACCGATCCCCCACCGTAGTGGTCACGCTCGTGAACGCAGCTGTCGTTTAAACGCTCGCCTCGACGCCTATAGACGCGCATCCTGCCGTCACTGTTTTTCAAGTTGAAACGGCTTTCGTCTGTGAATAAGACGTTGGCCCATTCAGCACGAGTCATTCTCTGGTGACGGCGGGCCCATTGCTCACGTCTTCGGCGATGTACGTCGGTAAGTACAAGGCCACGAAACGGCCTCCTTGCTCTTATACCATGATCACGGAGGCGGTTAAGTACCGTTTTCTGGCTTATTGATCTGTTATGAGTGCCTATCGTCTGCCTGGCGGTTGAAGCTGCAGTTCTAAAACGGTTGTTAAGGTGATCAGCAACAATCTGTGCATCTTGTGCTGGAGTTGTCACTTTTCTGCGAGGTTGCCTGCGCTCATCTTCAACACGACCTGTGCGCTGGAACTTGGTGAAGAGGTTGGTGATTGTAGAGACATGCCTGCCAAAAATTCGAGCAACCTGCAGAGAGAACAGAAGACATGCAACTTCATATCATATCTGTACATTTTCTAAGCTATAAATGCTAAAATAATTTGATTAAATATTGTTATTTACAATAAATTATTTCACGAAGAATGATTTAATACCATATTTAGATGAACAGAATATTTTAATGATGAATACCTGTACTCGGGATGAGCCAGCCTGTAACATGCCAATTGCGCGAGCGCGTTCTGCATTGTTCATACGCGGCATTTCAGCAGTTCTATCACTAAAATGTTTTTTTGGTATGATTTTTGCTATAGAATACTGATTTGATAAGAAAAATCGATTTTGAGCACTGAATTCACAAAATCTCGTGCATAATTATAAAACTACACATGAAAGCACGTGCAAATTGGAATATCGTCACGGTCGATGATTTTCATGATTTTTAAAAAGCATTGGCCATGTAATTAATTAATGCAAATAATAAAGTCCATACCTTTTACCATTATTGAATAATTTTAATTTAAAAAAGGTCTAGTTAGAACATCCTTTCAGTGTAGATTGTTAAGTTATTAAACTTTTAAGGAAGTAAATTACTATACAATTATTCTGAGTTTGGATCACCAGCAAATAGAAATTGAAAAAGTTAGCAGCATATAAATGTTATGATTATGAAATTATCTTTGTTTAGATGACATATTTTGGAACACTCAACAATTATTATTAATCCTAAAAGTTGTGATTGTTCTGTTATCAGAATACCATGCAAATTATCATTGAGTTACAATGTAAATAGCAGCGCCCAACTAGAACTGAGTGAGATATAAAATTGTTAATTCTATCTATTTTTTAATGTTTTTTATTTGATTTTCTTTAAAATAATCATGTGTCAGCTATAGCCGGGCCTTTCACTGCCCGGTAATATATAATATAGTTAATAAGTTTTGGGCCAGGTTGACCCATGCTTAGTTGGTATGGGCAGAGCTGACCCAGATTCTACAAGCACATGTGTAAACAATGTGCACTTTTTTATCTATGCAAAAATTTTCTGTCCATTTTTTTTATAATTGTATAACTGTATGATTATTTATATTTCAGGATACTTTTTATATGACAGCATTGACATGTTGATATATCAAAGAACAAGACAGTCACTAGAACTCCTTCTACATCATGTAGTGGTAAGTATAATTACATGTATTTCATCCACACTGTTGATTTAGTGTAACCTCCCAGTATGCCGAAGATACTGGGTTAGATCATACAACTGGAGGATATAATGTCCTTGGATGGGGGGATAACGCCATTGACATTATTATTTAATGTAAAAAAAAAATGAAGTAATGTCAAAAGATGGTTATAATTTCAATAGAGCAGTATAATGTCAAATTTCCTAGGTGCATTCTTTAATACAATATTCTTCCTTTAATGTGTTTAACTATAGAAATATGAATAGGCAACTATGGCCCCCACAAAAAGCTTGCTCTGTTTGCTTTATAGTCTCAATTTTATATTTTGTAATTTTAAACATCACATATTCCTACTTCAAGCTTGAAATACTTAATTTTAGGGCACATAATTCTAATTCACTATATTTCAGAGTTTTGTCCATTTTATGCTAAGCATTTTTAGCTCACCTGAGCTGTCTCAGGGTGAGCTTTTAGGATCCTTGAATGTCCGTGGTCTGTCGTCTGTCCACAGTTGTTCGTTAACACTCAATTTTGCCTCAATCATCATCAAACTTTGTTTGGATGCTTGTCTAGGTAATTGCTCATGTGAGTTCGAACATGGGTCATCTTTGGTGAAGAACTAGGTCACAGGAGCTAGAAAAAAAATTTTAACACTAGTGGCTACTGTTTTGATCCAAATATCCTGAAAATTGGTCTGCAAGTTTGTTTTGATGATTTCTAGGTCAAGTTCGAATATGGGTCACCTGGGTTAAAACTTGGTCACACTGCCCATATTTTGAAAAAAAACTTGCTAACTTTTTAGTGGTTACATTTTTGACTGAATTGTCATCAAACTTGTTCAGGAGTGTGATGAGTCAGAGGAGTGATCTTGCCCATCTTGGCCCTCTTGTTCATACTATAAAGTACTGAAACAAGTGTAGCCTGCTGCTCCTTCCACAGGTCTTTTTTTGTATTTGTATTTTAAATATCCTGCTGCAAGGGTTCAAATTTAATCTCGCATAATAATTTTGCAGGATGTTGTTACATTTTCATGACTACTGTTAAAACATGTAAACTGTAAAGATGAAATGTAATGGAGTTATTTTGAAGCAGTCTGCCCTGCAAAATCTGTCTGAGTTTTCAGCTTTTGGATGCTTGTCTAGGTAATGGCTCATGTGAGTTCGAACATGGGTCATCTTGGGTGAAAAACTAGGTCACAGGAGCTAGAAAAAAATTTTAACACTAGTGGCTACTGTTTTGATCCTAATATCCTGGAAATTGGTCTGCAAGTTTGTTTTGATGATTTCTAGGTAAAGTTCAATTATGGGTCACCTGGGTTAAAACTTGGTCACACTGCCCATATATTGAAAAAACTTGTTTTTAACTCTCTAGTGGTCACATTTTTGACTGAATTGTCATCAAACTTGTTCAGGAGTGTGATGAGTCAGAGGAGTGATATTTCGCCATCTTGGCCCTCTTGTTCATACTATAAAGTACTGAAACAAGTGTAGCCTGCTGCTCCTTTGACATGTCTTGTTTTGTCTATTTGTATTTTAAATACAGTGCTGCAAGGGTTCAAATTTAATCTCACATAATTATTTTGCAGAATGTTGTTAAATTTTCATGACTTCTGTAAAAACACGTAAACTGTAAAGATGAAATGTAATGGAGTTATTTTAAAGCAGTATGCCCTGCAAAGTCCGTCTAAGTTTTCAGCTTTTTGCTTTCAAAATCTCAAACACTTTTCCGTTGGAAAAAGAAAATTATAAAGCAAAGTTGGTTAGTCAGGGACTGAGAAAGCTGCACCACAAATGCATTACTGGCAATATCATAAATTTTGTTATATTTTGATGAATCTGTAACACTGTCATACAGTGTGAAATTGATATATGATTTTTTTCCGCATTTTACAAACAAGTTCATGGTTAATTTAAGCTGAAATTTCAACCCTTTAAATGTTATTTTGAAAGTTAATTTCTCATTTTGTAAGTTTATAAGAATTAAAATCATTTGCAAAAAAAATGCAAAATTTTAACCCTGGTAGCAGCACTTTTAAATTGAGCATTATGTTTAAGTTTAAACATATTTTATTCCTTTCAATTTTGTACAAGATGTACAATGCAAATATATAGAAAAAAAATATAAAAATACATTTTGAAAGAATAATTAAAGGGTTGGACCACAAGTTCAAATAACATTAGTTATTCAGTCCGTCCCTAATAGGAATATGAAAAATATTGATACTATAGATTACATTGAAATGGCATTGAAGAATATAACAAAGTAGATGTATTTAAGGAACATTATCAGCAATATGGAATGTAAATAGAGATATTTTGATTTGTAAAAATAGAGAAAAAAATACACATAAAAATATCAAAATATCTCAGAGTTGCTAAAATTAAGCATTCCTTTTTAACCTCATATTCATATCTCCTATTGAGCATTATGCTCTGTGACTTGTGTAATTGTTGAACAATTGTTGATATAAACAGTAAAATCAAACATTCACTACATATTTAGAATTTCTTTAACTATAGAAGTAAATCTCTACTTCAGGACCATGTTTATGTTGACATGAAGTCAGTCAAATATGGCGAACTTAATAGATAAAATGTACTGTCGCCTTTACTTGTAAACATACATATACATGTATTGACATTTTTATAGAGGTTAAAGTACTGTATGCTTGAATTCAATAAGAATGTACTGCTGCAGTAATATAAAAATAACTAATGTATTAGATAAACTTTAGTTTAAATTTTTTATGTCTTATAAAGTGTTTTCTTGTTAAACTTTAATAATGTTTTCCATGCTTAATTTCTGTGTTGAACTGATTTAAATTGAATTGATATGCTGTAAGTTAATATTATTGCCACTAGCCAGTTTTACATGTAACCACACACCGGTCCCCTCCCTCATGCCTGAGGTGTAGACCTTGACTTTAAGCTTTACTATACCCAGTGAAGAACCTGGCCACCATGAAAGGACAGTTAATTTTCCCCTGCTAACTGCTAGTTGAACATACCCCAGTTCTTTTGGCACCTATACAAAACCACCGGTCATTTCATTATTGGATGATAAAAATGCCACTCATTTCCCCTTGCTTTGGCAGAGTTACTATTGACTAACTAGTGTGGTATAGGGTCTAGTCATAGTTGGTCTTACCCTATATTAGTTGTCATTGTTACAGTATATCAGTTTAGAAAGAATGCCTGTTCTTTAACTTGTCTTATTATAAAATCTTACTTTAAACCAAGATTTATAGAATTTCTTTCAACCTAAATAACTGTTTGAAAGTCAAATATTTTCATAACAATATGTCGTGTGCAAAATGAAAAATAAAGCAAAAATGGTACATAAATAAAAAATGTATAAATAGACACATGTCATGAACTACAAAATGGAAATAATTGCATAAAAAAATTGTGTAAAAATTCAATACTAGTATCACTTATACAATAGAGAAAGCATGCATATGCATTACTTAGTAGTCAGTTATAGAAAGTTATATCAATCTTTATGCAAATCAAAGAGAGGTAGTCATGTTACGATGTATAACTTGTTTGCTTATGATATCAATATATTAAGAATGGGTTGAAGTAGGTTAAATGACTGAAATATTGGTGATAATAATGACCAGGCATGGTTTTTATTTTGTATTTCAAACATTAAACCCTTCCTCCAGCTGGAGCTGCAAATCAGTATAGAGCCAGGTTAGCCTGCACATTTAAACAATCTGACCAGATTTTATATATTTGCAATTTGTATGACTAAATTTTCATTTTACCCCCAACTTTAATAATGAACAGTTCCAAAAATAGAAGTAGGACAAGTCCATTGAGTATATTAAGGGTTAAGTCAACCAATCAATATAAAATATATATTTTTTGTTGGGAAGACATGCTTGTTTGATGTTTAAAGAACACACATCCAGATTTGTGTTTTGTTGTTGCATGTTTTGTTTTGTTTTTTGGGGTTTTTTTTTGTAAAAACGTAAAAATAATTGTTCTTAAGATTGAAGTATATCCAAATTTTAAAGTGATTTAACGTAAACACTAATACTATCATTATAATATTATATTACCTGTAACTTGTCAAAATATGCAGGAATTTCTCCCACTGGTAGACTTATAAATTATCTACTATTATAGAAATAATAGCTTCTTTCATACATTGCATTTAACCTTCAAAGTTTCACCTGCATTGTAAATACTGTGTATTTATACATGCACTTTATTATAAGATCTAAATATATTTATACCCTCGCACAACAAAGTTGTAAGGGGGTTATACTGGAATCAGCTTGTCCGTCCATCCGTCTGGTTGCCCGACGTTTTTTTCTTGTCCGCCCAATAACTTAAGATTCCCGTGACCCTTAGTCTTCATATTTGGCATGGAGGTTAGTCATGATTAGTAGATGATCCCTATTGATTTTGAGGTCACTAGGTCAAAGGTCAAGGTCACAGGGGCCTTGACATCAAAAAGCTTGTCCGCCCAATAACTTAAGATTCCTTTGACCCATATTCTTCATATTTGGCATGGAGGTTAGTCATGATCAGTTGATGACCCCTATTGACTCTAAGGTCAAAGGTCAAGGTCACAGGGACTTTGACTTCAAAAAGTTTGTCTGCCCAATAACTTTAGATTCGTTTGACAAACAGTCTTCTTATTTGGCATGGATGTTGATCATGATTAGTAGATGACCCCTTTTGATTTTGAGGTCACTGGGTCAAAGGTCAAGGTCATAGGGACTTTGACTTCAAAAAGCTTGTCCGCCCAAGATTCCTTTGACCTACAGACGTCATATTTGGCATGGAGGTTAGTCATGATTAGTAGATGACCCCTGTAGATTTTGAGGTCACCAAGTCAAAGGTCAAGGTCACAGGGGCCTTGACTTCAAAAAGCTTGTCCGCACAATAACTTAAGATTCCTTTAACCCATAGTCTTCATATTTGGCATGGAGGTTAGTCATGATCAGTAGATTACCCCTAATGACTTTAAGGTCAAGATCACCAGGTCAAAGGTCAAGGTCACAGGGACTTTGACTTCAAAAAGTTTGTCTGCCCAATAACTTTAGATTCGTTTGACAAACAGTTTTCATATTTGGCATGGATGTTGATCATGATTAGTAGATGACCCCTTTTGATTTTGAGGTCACTGGGTCAAAGGTCAAGGTCATAGGGACTTTGACTTCAAAAAGTTTGTCCACCCATTAACTTAAGATTCCTTTGACCCACAGTCTTCATATTTGGCATGGATGTTGATCATGACTATAAGGTGACCCCTATTGATTTTGAGGTCACTGGATCAAAGGTCAAGGTCACAGGGACCTTGACAAAAAAAGCTTTTCTTCTCAATTGTTAAAGACTGTCCTGTCCGCAATGTATTGAATTTGACATTTTCACATTTGAAGCATGTAAAATACATAACATTGCACTGGCTTAGTAACCTCAGATTTGGCAGGAAGGTTGTCCTTGAGCTCTAAATGGCCACTGTTGATTCTGACAAAGTGGTATGGGGGGGTTTCATGCCATGATACTGGCAGTTCTAGTTTTGATTAGTTTGATAATTTTTTGAAGATTTATTTTACTTGTCTGGGAGTGTGCCACTTAAACTTACTGCCAGTTAGAGAAAATGACTCTCAGAAGTTATCTCACAAAAGCATTTTTATTTATCATCTTGCTTCAATTTCAGATCATATCATGTTTTGGTCTAGCCATACTGACAAAGCTTTATGTGGGATATGCAGTGTTGGCACTTGTTGTGGAATTAAACAGCATATTTCTTCACACCAGACAACTTCTGCAGTGCCTGGGTTTCTCTAGAACTAATAGCTTTTACAGGCTTAATAGCCTTATTAATTTAGGTAAGTTTTCCTCTATGCTCCTTTAACTGACTAAATATCAGATATGTACTTTATTACTTTCTACTTTTGCTATGATTATAACTTGAATTTCAACTAACATATTAGGATGCTTCGTAAAGGGAGAGCATAATTACAGTCTCAGCCTTGTCCTTTACACCCTCGACTGGATAATGACTCGAAAAGTATTGAAGGAATTGTAATAAAACTTCACATATATTGAGAGGAAGTGCAGTGTCCAAGAACCATAACTGCTTGCTATTTATAAACCACAGTGATATCTCATTGAAACTTCATACAGTTATAGAGACTAGAAAGTAGAAGTGCAATATCAGAGATCAGTTTCACCTGTTTACCATGTCTTATAACAACTTCATTTATGATTGGCTTCTGCCCTTTGGTTAGGTTTTCAGGTCAACTAGGTCAAGGCTAAGGTTACTAAGGCTGAAAATAGATTAGACACATAAAAAAGCCATGTTTTTAGCTCTTGTGAGTATATTTGGATATAACCTGATATTGTTGACTTCTTCAATTTGAATTGTTTTGAGTTTGATTCCATTATATACACCTGACTATTTTCTGTTATTATAGGTACATTCCTTGGATTTAGAATTCTAACATTGGCCTGGATGACCCGATGGATTGTGATCAACAAAGATTTGGTACCTCTTGTGTTCTATTCTATGGGCAGTTTAGGCCTTGCCATTATGACGGTGATGAATATCATACTGTTTTATCGCCTTTTAAATAGCGACTTTCTGAGGAAGAAAGAATCAACTAGAAAAGAGGAATAGGTCTATAGCTAGTTCATATATTCAAGGTTATCAGACTACCTCAGTACATTGAGATGAGAACTGTATCCAGAGATTTGTTAGGAAAGAAAACTTTATGGGTTTTCAGTGTCTTGATAGATTCAAGGAAAAATCAGGGCATGTATGGAATTTTAATCAGATGTGTTTATTCAATTTTTTTATTCCAATCCGTTGATTTTATTTATGTTATGAAGAAATGAAAACTCCCATTACAATGGGGATTTTACTCTTGGTGCTTGTCAGGCTATAGGTCTACATGGCTGTGCTTATTGTTGTTATCTAAGCAAGATTTACATGTTCACTAATTACTGCCCAAATCTAGTAATTCATTGTCTCACATTGAAGTGAAAGTGAAAACGTTTAAAATTTAGGACCTTTACAGATCAGCCATAGAAAATGATGGGGTATGACAGAGAGTGATGGCTTAGTTGTTAAGGTGACTGCCTCTCCACCTAAAGACTGTGGGTTCAAACCCTACTTAGGCCACTACCATGTTGTCTCCAATGATGACAGTACTGAAAGTTTGAGAATGGTATAGCTAAATTAAAATATTGTTAAACACAACATAGTTTATAATTAAATCAGCTGTTATACACATGAAAATATTAACATAATGTTTGTTAACAGCAGCTAGAAATTAACTTAGTTACTCAATTTTAGATTTTATATTCTGTAAAATAGGTATTTTTATGGGTATCAGTGTATATAACTTTCTGTAAATTTCTAATATTTTCAAAAATAAAAAATAAATTTTGTATTTTGTATGATGAGCATACGATATTGCTTTGAACAATCAGTCAGCTATGTAAAAAAGTCAATTTATGTGTCATAATTAAAGGCCTATATTTAAATATAAATGATCATTGAATCTTCACACTACTTTTTGCTGCTAAACATGATATGCTAAGAATAGAAACATTGAAAGTTATTGCAAATTATATTCAAGTGTATTGGCTATGGTGGCTGTTTCACAGAATTTTAGTATTATGAACAACATTATATGCTTTGATAAGTAAGTGATAATTGATGGAAATAACATTTATTTCTTTATCAGTTTGAATGGGATATAATACGTACTAAAGGGAAAATTAATACCTTCTCATTAGCCCTTTTATGCATTTGAAAGGTATGAAATATTAACTCACATTCCACCAACTTCGGGTTACTTTTGTGTATAAGCATACAGAATCACAAAACTACGACAGCATGTACTAACAGCACCCAAACAAAATAATATGATAGCACACTTGCACACAAGATCATGACATCCTCACAAAAATTTCACAATACCCACCATGCCCAAACAAAATAATGACATCCACACAAAAGTCTGACAAAACCCACCATGCCCACACAAAATAATGACATCCACACAAAAATCTGACAATACCCACTATACCAACACAAAATAATGACATTCACACTAAAATCTGACAATACCCACACTAAATAATGACATTAACTCTAAAATCTGACAATACCTACACAAAATAATGACATTCACACTAAAATCTGACAATACCCACACAAAATAATGACATTCACACTAAAATCTGTCAATACCCACACAAAATAATGACATTCACACTAAAATCTGACAATACCCAAACAAAATAATGACATTTACACTAAAATCTGACAATACCCACACAAAGTAATGACATTCACTCTAAAATCTGACAATACCCACACAAAATAATGACATTCACACTAAAATCTGACAACATCCACACACTACTAACATCACCCACATGAAGTTCTTATAGTTCTGTAGAATGTTTGTTTATATTTAATGCCTGACAAACCCTACCGTTTGCAGCAATTTTGTGCTTGAAACAAGATATAAAATAATTAAAAGTGATGTCATATGCCATGTGATATGATCACTCTGTTACTGTGTAACAAATAAATACAGAAAAAATGTGAAAATAAAATCATAAGAACAATTTTAAATCAAGTTGTTAGTAATAGATTCAGTTAAATAGAAAAATATAGTTCATTGTTATTGAAGTTTTAACAGTAGAAATTTGTTACAGGAAATTCATGTAATTGATATAAATGAAATGGCATAATTGCTTATATTGTATTGATTTTCCATAGGACAAACAATAATTTGTGGTATTGTACATGATTATATATAATTAAACATTTTATGATGTTTGTAGGCAGTTGAAAGTTAATTCTCACAAATTAATGGTTGTTTTTTATTTTATGTAGCATCATGGTTACATACATGTTATGTTTTCTATTCTAATGAACATTGTATAATATTGAACAATTTTTTTACTGCATACATGCAGTGTATGATGAATTCCTTATTAATATTTTGATATAATATTTTTGACTTTTGTGATTTGATATGAGTTTTCTTTTCTGTTTCCTTTCTTTGTGGTTATTTATTTGGTATGATTTGTAGTTGTGAAATCAAAATTCCATTTATTATGTTTGTTTTATATGAAAGTTTGTACTATAGAGTTATGTGATGTATAAGGTATTTGCTGTTTTTGTCTGATTTAAACTATGGTACAATGTATCACAGTCATTATTTGTTGTATAAGATTTATACACAATATACACGTTATGTATGTCTCGCCTTATTCATGATCATTTGGCAAAGACATCAATCAAAACTTTATCTTCAAACTTATTTATGGCATTGATATTCTCTTTACATTTCTTAGCCCGTTTCATTGCTTATATCCATAAATAGATTTGTTCTGTTTTTGCATTTTAAAGTGATTATTACTGATTTCAGGGGTTAATTTATGTAAAAGGTTGAAGTACATTTTTTGACAGTATAATTTGGTTTCTTCTAAGATGGTTATAATGTTAACTGGTCTTGTTCATTTGGTGCTAAAATCTGCCTTTATTGTTGCCAGCTCTTCATTGACTATTATTACTATGGCTGAAGGTAAAATAATAATTCTAGGTTTGTTGATATAAACTTATTTGAGCCGCATCACAACAAAACCAACATAATGGGTTTGAAACAGCATGGATCCAGACCAGCCTGCGCATCCGTGCAGTCTGATAAGGATCCATGCTGTTTGGTATCAGTTTCTCTACTTGTTATAGAGTTGGTAAGCGAACAGTATGGATCCTGATCAGACTGCGCGGATGCGCAGGCTGGTCTGGATCCATGCTAGTCGCAAACCCATTATGTTGGTTTTGTCATGACGCGCTCATTTGTAGTCACCCAGTGAAACCCATGCTGGTGACTCTCTCCTGAATAAAGCTTGTAATTTTGAGGACAAGTGATTGTATATGTAAAGTAACAGTACTATAAACCTCAGTTTAAAGTTTTATTAGTACTTTCAGTTGGAACATTGGGGAATTAAACCTGCCAAACCCTGGATTTTTAATCATGTAATGTGGAGTGCACTGAAAAAAGAACTGAGGAAAGAAAAAAATAACCATTTCTGCTTGGTTGCCATATTTATAATGAAAAGAATTAAGTGATCAATTTTTCTGGAAGGAGACCCAGAATTTATTTACAATCTATTTTACAGTATGGTAAGACAAATCTTACCATAATTTTATTAAGAAAAAAATACTTAATCAGTGAGGCATTATTTTAAGTGCAATAAAATTTAGCTATATTTATTTACAAATGTTAGTTTTATGATTTACACATTATAAAATGATTATAATTGTAAAAAATATGAAATAATCCAAAAATAGCCTCTCCCCCACCCTACCCCTCACATTTTTAAAACAATTTTCCCAACAGCAGCCCAAAAATCAAATTGTTTCAACTTTTGAGAACCTTAATTGGTTTGATGTGTTTGTTCAAAAGAAGTATCAGGTTGTATGATCATAATTATACATGTTAAAAAAACCTAATTATTCTTTTCAATTTTGGTATTTTATTTATTAAAATTTTATTTTTTATGACTTTTATTAATCAAAAACTTCTAGCATTTCTTAGAGAAATCTTCTTCCTTTACACACAAATAGCATCCCTGATTCTGTACCACATGACCATCCATAATATTTCCTGTATTGTACCCGGAGACTGATGTGTATTTGATGTTCATGAGACATTTTTTTAAGAAATTAACTACAAAAGAATACATAATATTAGGATTCTTATTCACATTCAGGCTTTAGTTAATATAATTTGGATATAATTTGGATATAAGAAACATAGTTTGTGTACAATATGGGATATATTTGGACTAGTTACAAAGCTGGAGAAATCATAACTGACTTGTCAATCTATCATTTCTCTTGCTGTGCATTCATCAAAGCAAAATTTAGTTATTCAGCTTGATGTTATAAGCGTGTCAAAATTCAGCAATATTCAATTTTCCCAGAACTTCCATTGCATAAATCTTGCAAATTGTTGTTTTAACTTCATTTATTTTCAGAATTTTAGTGTATAGGTTGAAATTAAGTACCAAATTAAATTTATTGATGGAAATGATAATGAATATCAGTAATTATAAACAGAAAATTGTGACAGTGTAATTTTACAATGTAGTTATACTGATCACGATAGATAAACTATCAGATAAATGTACCTCTATCAGTCACCAAAAGTTTATCAGACACTTGGTAATTAAAATTAAGATATAAAGATTAGAAGAGAGATATTGTGCTCCTTCAAAGTCAAACAAATATCATACTGATAAATTTTGATTTGGAAAATTTCATTAATTTTACTCATTTTAGGCCAAAATTGTTTGGGAATTTTCCTTTTTCTATTAATAAATTTTGTTTTGTTTATAAACATATTATTGCTTAGCTAAGAGAATAGCACAAAGTTAGTTTTTAAAAAAAAAAAGCCAGTTTCATCTCGCTTGATCACTCTCATTTGCTGTGGTTTTTAGTCGGTAGTTACTTTCACAGCGATAAAATTATTGCCTTAAATTCGTTAAAGGCTATGATTTAAGAAATAATTAGACCCTGACAAATAAAAGGAGAGAACATTAACATGAGTAAAAAGACTATGACTCTATAAAACTGTTAATGTTTGATCTACTCTGTCAAACAACAAGGAAGCCTTAATTTGAACATTTATAATTGTCTAGTTCCCATTAATGCCATCAGCAGCATTTAGTTAACAACCAGTAATTTAAACCATACATCTATCTGTATAAACACCATGCACACCTAGCAGGTAATAGCAGAGAATTTCTATGAAAAAATGATAATCAACTTGGTAGGTGAGATCATGTTTATGTTAAAAAAATACATATTTAGGGTAAATGGGTGAAGTCAAGCTTTGACCGTTATTATAGGTAAAAGTGAAAATCAATAGAGTAATCTGACCACTATTTGCTATATTCTCTTCATATAGGGTGCACAAAAATGGTAAATTACCTGGGAAATGATGAAAAAGCCAGTAATATAGGGACAGAAGGATAAAGATTATTCATATAAAAATCTAAGATCAGAAAATTTAGTAAAATTTATTTAATCGTAATTTTTGTAAACAATGTATTGGGAAATCAACATTAAATACTGATAAAAAGACTATTAACTAATTGTACTTTTGCACTTAAAAATACTTGTTGTTGGCATTGTTTATAATCATTTAAGTAATGTTTTAAAAAAAAAAACATTTTTTTTGCAAATTTTCTGAGTGACATAGACTTGATAGTATATATTTGTAGTAAGGTGAGTGTAAACATGTTGTTGTTTTTGTGATCTATATATTAATGTGCCTTTATTGTTTATACACACATGTTAAAAATGCAACCAATAATTGTAACAGTTATGCAAGATTAAGATGATGAAACAAAATGTAGAAGCTTGTCTTTGACTGTCAGTTTCAAATTTGAATATTTACAAAATTGATATATTTATACATGTAAGAAATGGTTGGAACTTAATGTATATTTACAATGATATATGACAGGACTGGCTTGTTTTATAACTAACATAGGGACATAGTTGTAACATACTGGTTTCACAGTTAGGGCTTGTGTGTATGGGGGTACGGTTAGAATAACTTTAGAAATATGTGTTATTTATGCTGCATTACCAAATTCTTGCCAAAGAATTTTCAAATATAACATCTGCCAAAAAAAATGTATCTGTAATGAGATTTTTTGCAGTGTGTAGAAATTTAAAGAATATTTAGTTTTGAAAGTGTTATAATAAAATTATCGTAATTCAGTGTTGTTAAACATTCCAATCCAATATGTATTACCTCTAGTGATTGATATTTCCTACATTTTTATTGTACATTATACAAGTTGTATTTTGTTTGATGATATTATTGATTTTACTAAGTCACTTATAACTGGTTGATTCAATAAGATTTTGTGCTGTTTTAGGAAGATAGTCATACAAAGGGAAGCAATTTTAAGAGTTATTGGGGTGGGAATAATTATGAGTTATTTCCCTTCATTTATAGTACACCTACATATATAACAATAAGACAGGGTTATATGGATGTAGATAGGTATGCTGCCTATTATTTTGTATTGACTATTATGCTTACTGTATACACTTACAAGTGATATTTTTTTGTCTCATTAGTAATGAAATATTTTATAACAAAATAGTGAAGTCAATACTGTTACCAAATATGTAATAACTGTTTTACATGTATCTGCTATAAGGAAATCAAAATCAATGTAAACAAAATCTGCTTTGTAAAGGTAGTATTTTATTCAGCACTTCTGAAGGTATGCAGGGCAGAGCTGACCATTCCTGGGCATGCTTAAAGCATCACTTTTTATGCAGTTTAACTAAACTAAAATATATTTGACCTAAACATAAAATGACTTAATTTGCACCATATTTTATTGGAAGTACTACTTTTCATGAAATAATATACAACATAGCAATTCAAAGATCTTCTTTCATCTGTTAAATCACCATTATTTGTCACCTTAGTGCAGTTACAGATTAAGTTCTTCTAAATTGTAATACGAGTTAGTCAGTTATTGAGTTAGTCAGTTATTGTGCTAAGGTGACAATATGACCTCTACAATGCCTGCAGTACATTAAATGTAGGGAACAAAAAAAAGATTTAATTAAATATGTCATTGTTCACTGGTTGTTGTGTCAAACGTTTTAACTGAATGATTACCTACCTATCTGAAGTTTTACCTTATATATGCTATTAATTGTGCTGTATATCTTTGTGTATATTCTAGCCTTTTCAGCTCACCTGAGCAAATAGTGTTCATGCAAGCTTTGATTATGACTATGTCTAGAATGAAATATTAGGTGAGCGAGTTATGACCATCATTGTCCTCTTGTTATATTTTTTTATTGTATGATTTGCTTGTTCTGTCCCTTAAACCTCAGGTTTATATATTGTATAACTTTTCAATATGAAAATCAAAATTAATTTACATGTATATTTAATGTGTTAGTAATTTTTTAAATTAAAGATTTTTGATAGATTAAAATACAAGATTTCATTTTGTTTCTTTTCTTTTTTTTATTAAACTAGGGTAAGGTTGCACAATTTGGATATGTTTGATATAAATCAGTTAAGATATAGCTGTAATTTGATTTTTGTTAAAACCAAGGTAAAATACTTGTTCAAATGTGTTTTCTTGGCATAAGGGGATAAGTAATTTGTGTTTAAAAGATAATTGTATACAAGTGGACTTAAAATGCCTTTTATAATGAAGTCAGATGTGCAGTTAAGTAGTAATAAGTACATTTTTTATTGGGATAAGGTATTGGAATATAAAATGTTCTTTATGTTTAAGATATTTGAATAAGGGGTACCTGTTATTTCAATGCATAATTTTGTTACAACTCTACTTACTGAAATACTTTGTTAGTGCAGGGGTATGCACCCAAAAGAAATTCTTTTGGTGTGGATTGTCAGATGTGTATTACATTATGTATTTAGTACAATAAGTATTAGGTGATCATTAAAATGGCTGGTAGACAAATAAATTATTTTATGTTATCACTTTCCATGGAAGTAGTGCAGCGTACAGAGCCTACAGGAAGTTATGCCATTGAAGACTAAAGTTCTATGTTTATATAAATGGTAGGATAAGGGAATGCGGTATTCAAATGATGTACGTTTTATATTGATAACAATTATTGAAATTTTAAATGTTAATTATGATATGATAATAATTACTTATTTTTTTGTTGGAAGACGTTCATTCGTTGATTTTCTGTCTCCCTCAGTGTTTCACCGTGTCCAGACAAACAATTGTTTGTTTATTAAGATGTTTGCTAGTTTTATTGAGATAATGTAAAATGTTGTAGCAGTGTCAGTTGATTTGTATTTCAATACCTCAGCTTATTCGATGCTAGTTGTTTCATTTTATGTCTTGCTTAGTTGCTGGCATTTTTATGTATTATATATAGATATATAATTTATATTTTTATCTGTACATTTCTAGTTGTTTACAATTAAAGTAAGATGTTAATGTGTACATTGTTTTTATTTGTATTTTATCCCAGAAACGTTGAATATACTTTTTCTTTGATCCAAGAAATTTTGACGTCAGAGTCTTCAAATAGATTGTTGGTCCTTCAAGCAAATTTGCCATTTATCTTGAAGTCAAGGTCACATTGTTCTACTTCCCATCAAAGCTGTAGAGGGATAAAAGAATATTTAGATATCATTTATAAAATTAGAAACACATTTATCGAATTTAATACCAGTTTCTTTAAAGCGGAAAGTTACCATAAGAGTTCCTGTTTTTGTTCTGACATAGATGTCTCTCTTTATCTGTGCATATCACGTACATATAACCTCAACTCTATCATATGTTTATGAGTCATTTCTAGATCACTCTTGTTTTATGTTACATCAAAGTCAATAACATTCAGAGGTTCTATAGCATGGTCATTTTAAGGGTGGCTTCCCCGAAGAAAAATTCTTTGAAATACACAGTTTTCCCCCAAATTTGAATTTAAATCAAGACTTCTCTTCTTGCAAATATATCCCGCCCCCCATTTAGGACAGAGTTGGTTCCCCTAAATACTCGTTGGAGTACTAGATACATTTAACACTATGCATTTTGAAACTGTATTTTTAGCTCGAATATTCGATAAGAATAAGTAGAGCCATTGTAGTCACCGGAGCGTCAGCGTCGTCGTAACCACTTATGTTAATGTTTTCGTAATACCTCAAATATTTTCAAAGTCCATTGACATATGGCTTTGAAACTTTGCACACTTGATCACCATCATGACCCCAGCCTGTAAACAGGAGGAGGTAACTTTATTAAGCATTTTGACAGAATTATGCCCCTTTTTCAACTTAGAATATACGTTGAAGTTTTTGTAATAGTTCAAATATTTTCAAAGTCCATTGACTTCTGGCTTTGAAACTTTGCACACTTGTTCACCATCATGACCCCAACCTGTAGACTGGAGGAGGGAACTGTATCAAGCATTTTGACAGAATTATGCCCCTTTTTATACGCCCGTTTGAAAAACGGGACGTATTATGGGAACGCCCCTGGCGGGCGGGCGGCGTCCAATTTTGTCCGGAGCATATCTCCTACATGTATGGAGGGATTTTAATGAAACTTCATAGAAATGTTCACCACTATGAGGAGCAGTGTCGCGCACATGAACCAGGTCTTTAGGTCAAAGGTCAAGGTCACACTTAGAGCTCATTGAAAAATGTTTGTCCGGAGCAAAACTTCCACATGTATAGAGGGATTTCAATATTACTTGGCACAAATGTTCACCATTGTGAGGCGGAGTGTCGCACACAAAATTCAGGTCCTTGCAGCCAAGGTCAAGGTCACACATAGAGGTCAAAGTTCAGATAAAAATATGAAGATGTGTATATGGACCATTTAGTCATCATTTATTGAGGTATTGTAACACAAATGGTCATTATCAAGACTATGGCTGTGATTCATATAATTTAGGTCAATATATGCAAGGTCAAGGTCACTAAAGATGATGAAATATCCAGATTTTGTCCGGAGCATATCTCCTACATGTATTGAGGGATTTTAATGAAACTTCATAGAAATGTTCACCACTATGAGGAGCAGTGTTGCGCACATGAACCAGGTCTCTAGGTCAAAGGTCAAGGTCACACTTAGAGTTCATTGAAAAATCCTTGTCTAGAGCAAAACTTCCACATGTATAGAGGGATTTCAATATTACTTGGCACAAATGTTCACCATTGTGAGGCGGAGTGTCACGCGCAAGATTCAGGTCCTTGCGGCCAAGGTCAAGGTCACACATAGAGGTCAAAGTTCAGATAAAAATATGAGGATGTGTATAAGGACCATTTAGTCATCATTTATTGAGGGATTGTAACACAAATGGTCATTATCAAGACTATGGCTGTGATACATATAATTAAGGTCAATATATACAAGGTCACTAAAGATGATGAAATATCGAGATTTTGTCCGGAGCATATCTCCTACACGCATGGAGGGATTTTAATGACATTTCATAGAAATGTTCACCATTATGAGAAGCCATGTCACGCACATGAACAAGGTCTCTAGGTCAAAGGTCAAGGTCACGCTTAGAGCTCATTGAAAAACGCTTGTCCGGAGCAAAACTTCCACATGCATAGAGGGATTTCAATATGACTTGGCACAAATGTACACCATTGTGAGGCGGAGTGTCGCGCACAAAATTCAGGTCCCTGCAGCCAAGGTCAAGGCCACACATAGAGGTCAAAGTTTAGATAAAAATATGAAGATGTGTATAGTGACGATTTAATCTTCATTTATCGAAGGATTGTAACACAAATGGTCATTATCATGACTACGGCTATGACACATGTACTTTAGGTCAATATATGCAAGGCCAAGGTCACTAAAGATGGTGAAATATCCAGATTTTGTCTGGAGCATATCTCCTACATGTATGGAAGAATTTTTATAATACTTTATGGAAATGTTCACCACCATGATATGTATTGCTCCATGCATGATCCAGGTCTCCAGGTCAAAGGTCAAGGTCACACTTAGAGCTCATTGAAAAACGCTTGTCTGGAGCAAAACTTCTACATTCATAGGGGGATTTCAATATAACTTGGCACAAATGTTCACCATTGTGAGGCTGAGTGTCGCACGCAAAATTCAGATCCCTGCGACCAAAGTCAAGGTTACACATAGAGGTCAAAGTTCAGATAAAATTTGAAGATGTGTATAGGGACCATTTAGTCATCATTTATTGATGGATTGTAGCACAAATGGTAACTATTATGACTACAGGTGTGACACATTTAATTTAGGTTAATATTTGCAAGGTCAAGGTCACTGGAGATGATTAAATATCCAGATGTTGTCCGGAGCATATTTTCTACATGCATGGAGGAATTTTAATGTTACTTTATAGAATTGTTCACCACCATGAGACGTAGTGCCCTGCACATGAACCAAGTCTCTAGGTCAAAGGTGAAGGTCACAGTTAGAGCTCATAGCAAAACGCTTGTCTGGAGCAAAACTTCTACATGCATAGAGGGATTTCAATATAATTTGGCACAAATGTTCATCATTGTGAGGCTGAGTGCCGTGCATAAAATTCAGGTCCCTGCGACCAAGGTCAAGGTCACACATCCTGTGCATATCTTCCCTACTGATTTGTTTTAAGGTTCATTTAACAACACAGTGCCAAGGATAAAAACTTGCTTGCTAGATAACACTTATCCATAATGCCCCAATCTCGATCTAAAGCTTTCGTAAACGGGCGTATTTTGTGACTATGGCACCCTTGTTTGACTTAGAATTTACATTAAAGTTTTTGTAATACATCAAATATTTTCAAAGTCCATTGACATATGGCTTTGAAACTTTGCACACTTGTCCACCATCATGACCCCAACCTGTAAACAGGAGGAGGTAACTGTATTGTATCAAGCATTTTTTTACTATCAAGCACTCAGAATAGTCGAGCGTTGCTGTCTTACCGACAGCTCTTGTTTATTAGAATTGTATTTCTAATTGTTACCAGTGATATTATATCTTAAGTGTTTCATAAATTTGACATTTATCCAGTCGTTTGTCCTTTAATTTTGTCAAATTTTCTTCGTAGCTTAAGTGATCCATGTATGTACTAGACTCAATGTGATGTCACCCCATCGAAACACCTCGCTGAATGCCCCATTGTTCTTGTCCTAACTTTGACAGGATGGGTCAAAAAGTTGAGACTGACACCATCCGAGTCTTTTACACGGATGACAACTAAACGTCAAATTCTAGTATGCCATTTGTCAAAAAAATCTCTTTTATTCCGAATAATGACATGTATAAAGTTACAGTTTTCTGATAGTTCTTTATAAATATTAGCATACTGTTTTAAGGTATGCAGCAATCAGTTGTGACCACGGCTCTCTTTGCCTGGGAATTGCGGGGATTTCCTTATCCCTGTTAAAGGTCCTGCATCGCGGGGGTAGTCAGTAGTAAAATCCCAGTTTAGATCCCCGGATGTGCGAGTAGGACCGACTTTGGTGCCGTAGTGCGAAGACAGGCGGAATGTGTAAAAAAAACTGCGCATTTCCACCCCTATCCCCAGTCCCTATCCAAGTGCTGCTCTTGTCTTTATTGTGGAGGCCGCTGTTACAACTGACTGGTGCATTGTTGTGATAACATGTACATGTATTATGATTTTGCAAATTTTATAAATCCTCACAAATGTGCGGATCATTATTACGTCCAGATTTTAATTCACATAGGAGATTCGTCTTACAATCCCCATGACAAGAGCTACAGCTGTTTGGTGCCGACTTGTGATAATGCCTGGAAGATAAAAACGTAAGTATACATCAAAGACGGTCCGGTGAATGTACAGCTTTTAAATGAAGAGAACGGCATCATCTTAAAATACACTAGACATTGAAAAGATTCCATAATGACGCCATTCGCAAGCTTAATAAATTAACCGTCAGATTAGTTCAATGGCTATAGAACATTGAACTGTGAATCGGGCGATCTGGGTTCAATTCCCGGACGGTGCAGGTCACTTTCGTTGTGATTGACCATGAAATCCTGTATACGGTCATTTAGACTGTGCCTCTGCTCAGTTCCTTGCGAAAGTGAAGGCAACTAGTACCCATAAATTGCTTGACAGCCGGTCCAGGAACGATTCGGTGACAGAACTGTGCTCTGGTAAATTCATTCTGGCTTACTGCCGTGATCCGGAGTGAAAAATACCAACACCACCACGCTAATTATACATGTACTAGTATCTAAATCAATGTCAACGGAAAACTGTTAATTAAATGTTGCAAACTAAAGGTATAAATGAGAAAAAGTACTTAAGTTTTCATGTTTGTTTAGTTCAAATGAATAACACAAAACAGGTAAATGTCATTTTTCAGTCCACAGAAAATGTAATGTTATCTATAGAATGTTCATACTTGCAAAACGTTTGGAACAAATTGTCGTCTGCTTTCATCCTATACAGAAAATCATTCCAGTCTCCCGGAAATAATGATGTCATTTTGTATGCTTCCTTAAAACATCATATACATGTATAAAGAAAATATGTCATGGAAATTTGAAAAATAAGAAGTAATTTAATATTGCAGTAAAACGGTGGGAGTGTAAAATATAGAAATGTAAACATTGACGTTAATAGTTAATGGCTGTTGTTTGTATTGAAACACTTTGAAAGTGGTAGCCAATATAGTGACATTGTACAGACGTTGTTTATGATCAGATTGTTAGAAAGTTATATACGTACTTTTGCCGAATACTCTTTCTCCCAGACCACTTCACCATATGTATTTGCTCGGGTGACATTTAAGAAATAGTTTGTGAAGTCTTGAACTTTCTGAAAACCAAAACCAGTCACAATCAAAATTAGTATAAAACAATAACGTCTTAAAATATTACAGTAGCCCGAAAAATGTACAACATTACTAGCCATTGTAAAGTGTTGTTTACCGAGATCTTTTAAAAGAAATATTATTAAGAGCATATAAAAACAAAATACATTTCTCCGTGCGGTACGTTACAAACCTTTTTCATTTTATTAAAAAATATTCCATGTCTAATACATAAATAAATACAAAAGTTAATAAAGAAATATAGATAGCGATATTTTGTTAGATCCTAAGCCCATTTTTTGTAACACTTTCCAATCAAGATTTGGTCATTTTGCTTAATTAAACTGATTTTTTTTTGTAAAAAGGGAGCAAATGAATTATCTGAAATTCTGCACACAGACCTACATCAAATTTTGATATCTAATAATGTCATGTCAAAACAACAACACCCTCAGTGGAATCCCTTAATCACTTAAATCTGCATGGTCATTATTTGCAAACATTTTTTTAATGAAAAAAAACCATACCCAAGACGAGCCTTTATAGTTGCCGTCGATTTCGTAGATTCTGAAGCCGGGGTTTAAGTAAGAGTATGTAGTAATACTTCCGGGCATGTAGGTTATACCCAGGGGGCGCTTCGACGTGTCCCCATCATAAAACATTTGGAATTTCATGTTATGAGTGTGTCCAAAGAATTGCTCTGCTATTGTACCTTCGTATCTTAATCAAAAGTTTACAGTATCTATTAATAGGTCCAATATTATTCAAGATATTTTATTTCAATGATTTTACCTGTGTCATATAGTATATATATATATATTATCGTGACCTGTGAATGGCTCGAACTTACGTCTCAACCATTAGTACATACCCGTATATTATGGTTTTGTTTTTCAACACTTTATTATTAATTATAACATTTTGGTATTTTTGTCTAGGCTAAGGTAGCTGCACCCTGTGGTCTGGGCAAACGAGGGATCATCAATTTATATTATCGTGTCATTTATCACATATACAAATTATCAGTAATCATTTCATTATTTTCAATAGCATTGAATTTCAATACGTTATTCACTTTAGTGTTTACACCACGTTACGTCCAAACAGAAATCATCTAAGCAATTTAGCCTCTAATTCGTTTCCAGAGTAAAATACCTACTAGTATATCAAATGCATATCGTACCCCATTTAGTTTAGTTTTCATTTTCAGAAACCAAAACATCTATAACCTTGTTTTTATTTTCAGAGTCTAAAGATCCATGTCAAAAAGGTAAAAAATGGTCGTGTTGAATAAAGAGATCAAAATTCATTGTTGAGAACAATACTGGTTCTATTAGACTCGTACACAAGTCAAGCTCGACTAGCTCCTTGTCAAGTTACTCGTGCAATATAATTCAGTATTGTACTAAAATTGTTTATTAACATGTAATAAAATATCGGTGAACAAACGCGTGCATGAAAAGACAGTCCAAACGAAATTTTATTATTATTTTCAATGATTTAAGTCATGCGATAAAAGGAATCATGATGTACGAGTAAGTGTAGTATTTAGTTGTTTTTGTAAACACGTACAATAAAATGTAATAAAGCTGCTGTATTATTTAATGAAATTTTCTACAACTCCTGTAGATATTATATGTGCAAAGCAACCAGCAAGTGAGAGACTTTTATTTTCATTTCTTTAAGATGGTCGCCCAATCCTGCATCCAACCCCTGTTATACATTTACTTTCATTATGTGATATTAACATTATCTCACCGGGAAAAAAATCAAGATAATTTATTATGTTTAATAATTTACCTATTTACAATTTTATAATAATTCCAACTCCATGGTTTAAGGCAACACCAACAACCAGGGAATATATGTCCTATAACATGTACCTGTAAATAAATCACCACATGATTTTGATATACCACTCACCACTAACCATGCCCCAGTCACATTAAATTAATCTTACACCAATAATTGTTGTAATATGACCCCGGAAACAATATAACCTATGTCCATACAATCTTATATTATCATCGTTTAATGTTTTTTACATAATTACCATATAACCATTTTATACCAATTACTATATGATCTACATATATCAAACATCATACAGTTCTCTTATCTAAAGTTATTTTTGTCCGTTTTAAAAACAAGATTTTGTCAAAAAAATCTATGCCAAGTCAAGCTGAATAATGATGATATGCTCGTGTGTTAAAAAGAGAACTTTTCTTTACGAAAAGTAAAGAAGGGTCATAACTAATGCCTCCGGGGCGTCCGTGGCCGAGTGGTTAAGGTTGTTAAATTGACTTCAAACCACTTGCCCCTCACCGCTGTGGGTTCGAATCCTGGCAAGGACTTTGGATTCTTTCATGTGAGGTAGGTATCGGACGTCGGTGGTTCTACTCAGGTGCCCATTCGTGCCTGAAATAATGCACGGAAGGGCACCTGAGGTCTTCCTTCACCAGTAAAGCTGGAACGTCGCGATATGACCTATTCTGTGTCGATGTGACGTAAAACCCAAAACAGAAAAACACACAAACAAACTAATGCTTCCAGAATTATTTCTCTTGACTAACATAAGCACCAAGTATTCTAAGTTCATGTTGATAACTTATAATGGGCTACATTGATGACAACGCGCCGCAACGATCATAATAGCTCCACTTTTTATTCGAAACAGACAGAGCTTTGTAAGGCCACATGTGTCACAAATCACATTCGTCACAATTGTGAAGAATGAGATCACATTCGTCACAAATTTTGTGATGCATGTGATCCAATGTTTTAGACAATCACATTCGTCACGAGTTTAAAATCACAAATGTCACAAATTTGAGATAAATATTGTTTTCTTCAATGCTTTTCACTGAGTCACAAACGTCACAAATTTTTAGGACTGAAATCAATTATTGGAACTAAAACTACAGACATTTTTATCCCCTCCCCCGCTGATGAAATCGGGAGTGATGGGACTGTTTTAGCGTGTTCGTCCGCCTGTCAGTCCAGATTTAGTTTCCGCACTATCCGGCCATTGATTAGTTATTATACACTGTATATGGAATCATTTCGTTTCCACGCTATTTTTCAGCAACTTCTGGATGGATATCGATGCTGCAACTTTGTAGGAACCTTCATTCACAAACCAGTTGCACATATAACCAGCATATCTCCATTTCTTTTTAAAAACAGACTTATTGCCCCTTGTTGTTGTTGTTATTTATAAAACACTGTATATAGAACTATTGCTTTTCTGCGCTCTAGGAATTTCAACGAAATTTAGTTTAATATAAAGAGGAGATGCGCATCTCGAAAAATCTCGACGGGACACTAAAGGATTTGGTCCGACTTGAGGGTACGGTCGCTTAAATGGGCTTTCCGGCGGTGACTTTAGATAAACACATAAACAAACAAACAAGATGTGCATATCATCATCATCATCATCATCATCATCAGTATTTCCCGTTTGGCCGTTTAATACAGAGTTATGATTCATAATTTATTATCATTTATTGTTCATAGAAAAGCATTAATTCAACCCTATTCTTCAACAAATCTGCTGAATAATTTAAACAAAACTATGTGGGTACATCTAATACCAAGCGGAGATGTGTATATTGACGGCACTTACCCGAAGTTAAGACCCCTGGTTGCTTAATATTCAGTCAGATAACTTAAGTATTTCATGTCTTCAAATGTTAAATATATCTAATTTTAATTGTGTGGGAACCTTCAATACAAAAAGGGCATGTGCATTATCGCCGTGACCTTGAGTGATATGGGCCCTGATAATTTATGCTTTAACCGACTATTTCCCCGGAGTCTTTATTCGAAATGTATCCGGCAATTGTTTAATTTTCAATCATTATATGATGCTGTCGGCGGTAAACATTAATTCAGCGAATTTGCTTGCAAGATATTTGAATGACCTCGTGTAATTATAGCTTCGCAAGACCAATCATATTCTACAAGAAATGTTAAGTTTTCTTTAAGTTTATTTATTCAACTTCCTTCATGATTCTCATTTAACCCTTTCCTTTATAGATATTACTGGTAAAATAACTATATGAACCGCGCCATATTGAACCCTAGATGAGCCGTCAGTACTAAAGAACTCTGATATAATATAGGAATAACGCATGTTTCTTTTTTCGTGTTTAAATATCTGTAGAAACCCAAGGGATTAGTTGGTACCCGACCCAACGTATCCCGAGGGTTTCAGCAGTTGTTATGACACGGAACAATCATTCGTTAACGCTATTCTAGCATAAAGCATGCATAAATCTAACACAATCCATACACAATCAAGCAACATCACTGATTTTCCTCGGATTGCACGGGAACGTCAGCGTTGTATGTGACCGTGACGTCATTTCCGTTTTAGTTAAGCAGCGTCCGGGCCACAATGTATTGACGCTGTGCCACGGAAAACGTATATCAAAAAGGTGTTTTAACAGCGCATGAGCGCTAGAATCTCCTTGTTAAAAGACCTTTTTGGTCCTGTTAAAACACCCCGAAATCATGGTTATAACGGCAGTTTTATGCTAGAATATAAAGTAATGAATAACAACATGGATTCCAAGAAGACTAAAAGCAAACTCACATTGCACAATACTAGCCGCAATTATAATACTGCTAATAAAGTTCACGAATTTTCATTGGTTTAGAGGCGGGATATATTTATAGGTTATTACAGAGGTCTGATGTGCCTTTATTCGATTTTGGCCCACTAAAAGAGCCCGAGGGCTAATACCGATCTTGTAGACCCATATCGCATTAAGGCACACCAGACCTGTTCTATAACCTTTTTATTGCATGTGCTCATTTATGTTTTGGTTTTCATTATAGAATTAAAAAAATCGTTTGAAAACATTGTTCAGCGACAATGTATAATTTATTTTAAAAAGCGAGGGACTTTTGACGTCGTCTAATGACGTTGACGTCATTTCCTCACAAACATTTGTTTTTAATATATTTTGGCGTTATTTAACTGTTTGGAGATTGTTGTTCAAGTGTTTCTTCAATTTTGCTTTTTTATCAAGATATATTTCAGTTAAACGTATTTTTTCTTATAAAATTGTCAATCTTTCCGCGTTTTTTTAGCAACCCGAAGTGGGAAATCGATATCGGCCCAACCGGAAGTCGGACCGATATCGATATTTGGCGCATCACGTCACCTGACCACAGTCATATTACATGGACAAAACTCATATACGTTTAAATTCACATTTTTTTTCTATTTATAGTGTTTTGCCGTTGCGTATTTATAGGTTATTACACAGGTCTAGTGTGTCTGAATGCAATATTGGCCAAGAAGAGGTATTGGCCCGAGGGCTTTAGCGGTCTCGTAGGCCAATATAGAGGATATTACATGAGTGTCTTTTCATATTGAATTTATTAAACGAGTTGGATAAAATAATAAATTGCGAGGCTCTGCGAGCATTTTATTATTTTATTCATATCACAGGTTAAATTTTGGAGCCGATAAACCGAAAAATTGTTGTTATTTTGCCTTATAAACGCGGTAAAATCAAGCGACGTCCGCTAACGTTAAATGACGTCGACGTCAAAACGATATTATATAGAGGATATTGAATGAGTGTAAGTTCAATACTGAATTTATTGCACGAGTTGAATAAAATTATATTATGCGAGCCTCTGGCGAGCATAATATTATTTTATTCAACGAGTGCAATAAATTCAGTAATGAACTTACACGAATTTTATATTCTATTTATCACATACCCAAAATAAAGACCATTTAAAGTGAAATAAGAGTCATTTTTCATTGACGCGCCTATAGTATAACGCTAACATTTAGCGCGTTTTTACACTATGTTTGTATAACGCTAATGACGTCACGTCAAAATATATGCACGGCCGTGCAATACCATATTTACGGAGTCGCAAAATCGGCACGGGTGTGTGATAAACTAGTTTATTGCATTTGTTACTATAAATAGTAACAAAAATGCTAAGGAAGTGTGCTGATATTGCCCAAAGAGTGCCGATATAAGCATGCATTTTCAATATTTTGAATTGCTACACGATAATATTACATTACATTACAACTTACATGCTATCCTACTTGATATGTTTAATAACGTTCTGTACTATACAGTCGCGCAACAACATTCTGTATTACACAACACTTTTCAGCATTTAACTACAAAATAATTATTTATCACGTTTGAAGTCGCGGGAGTGGAATAAAGCCATTACATATTTTCCATATTACACTAGTGTAATATCGTTTTGACGTGCTCTTCATGTATACTGAAGGAAATAAAATATCTATCTACGTTAGCGGACGTTGCTTAATTTTACCGCGCTTATAAGGGAAAATAACGACAAGTTTTCGCTTTTTCGGCGGCAAAAGTTTACCTGTGATAAAAAGAATATTACATTCGTGTCTTTTAACATTGAATTTATTAAACTCGTTGAATAAAATAATAAAATGCTCGGCAGAGCCTCGCAATTTATTATTTTATCAAACTCGTTTAATAAATTCAATATGAAAAGACACTCATGTAATATCCTATATTTATTTGATGCTAACTAATGAAATACTGTTCTATCAATGAAATATATTCATATTTATATCAGTCACAGTGTGGTGATATAGATTTGGGTGATATAAGCCACGCCCACTCTGCGTACGTATTTATAAGTCTGGATTCCCTAAACATGCATTAAAAATAACTGTTTAATTTCATTCTAAATGACATATTTCTCGATTCAAATGTCCGTAATTTTGTAAGATTGTTGACAATGAGACCGCAAAAAGAAATATAAATAAATAAGGATTATTTTGCTTGCAGCGTTAACGTTTGCCGTCATATTGTTTACGCGCGCGTAGTCTCCGCGCTTCAGTAGTAAACGGTCTAAAAGCACTTTTCGAAAGGCACATAAAATAAAAAGAAAATGTGTTTGCTTTTCGTGAATATGAACTATATCTCACATCGAAGTGAGAAAATGTTCATATTTTCACTCGCGCTACGCGCTCGTGATACATATTTCATTTTTTTTCTCACTTCTCAGTGAAATATATTTCATATTCACTCAAAACAAACAAATATCCTCTATAAAATTCACTAAACACCGTCGTTTGAAACTATCTAATCATAAAAGGCGAAAAAAGCTAAGACGCGTCGAAACGATAAAGCGGCCCCGCCACAAAGACACGATCTGTTTAAACGAATTAACTATATTATTATTACTAGTGGAATAGATATGGAAAGTTCCATAGAGCGTCTGCAAGCAATTGGCACAGACTTGCAAAATCGTCTCAGGAAAGAAGGTTCCTAGATGTCAAAATGTCATACTCTTTAATTGAACCAAGATTCCTGAAAGTCTGCGGAGGTCAAAAGTCTGTCAGACCAAAAAAGGTTCATTGATGTCAAAAGGTCCTAATCTCTAATTAGATATCCTGAAAGTCAACGGGGGTCTCAGCTACTTCCCAAACAATCATATATGGTCTCATTGGTGTAAATATGGTCATAATTTGTACTGAAACTAAGATTAAGTCTGTGAGATTCCTTTAGACTGTCGCTGTATGGTGGGAAGAAATTTTGAGGGTTCACAGAGGTAAAAGATCACTTCCAGTTGAAGTCTGATACTATGCCGTGCATTGTCACCAAAATTTTTTTGAAGGTTTCGAGAACGTAAGACGACTTGATAGCAATACCATTACGACAATGCGACAGTTCTATGAAGACAATACAATGCCGACGATACGATATTGCAACAAGTTAGTACGATGGCGATAATGCAATGGTGGTGAAAAGATATTGGTATCGTGATGTCGACATCACAATATCGATTTATTGCATTGTCGCCCTTGTACTATCGCACTGATATAACCACGATTGTCCTTATGATATTCCGTGTATCACATATTGAAAAATAAATTTGTGACATTTGTGATTCGCCTGTTAAAAAATTCTCAATTTTGCTTGTGACGTTTGTGATTGGCATTTTTACCCGATTTTGGTCAATCACATTCGTCACAAAAGTCATTTGTGACGAATGTGATCACATTCGTCACAAATTCATAAAAACTTGTGACGAATGTGATTTGTGACACATGTGGCCTAACAGAGCTTTGTAGGAGCACGTTTGTCTCGGAGCACATTTGTCTCACGAAGTGTGACCGATGTGTTCGTAAACATTCATATTTGCGACAAATTGGAAATGAGACAGATGTGTTCGACACACAAAAGAAAGGACACTCGAAGCACATTTGTCTCACATTTTTCCATAAAATTCTTCTCACATTTTTCCATAAAATTCTTAAAAGGTAATAATTATGCCCGTCCGTTTACCGGCAACCAGCCATTGTTCTGTGTTTTCTGTATTTATAAAACCGTTTTTAGGTCACTTCCGGTCAGTCAAAAACTTCCTGCCTCTGCATAGGAGTCATATATTAAATTAAAGAATATCCCTGTTCTGCATGTCACAATGAAAATTTCTACAAGTGCAAGCGTCCAGAACCTAAACACATATGCAGCAAGTCTATTGTTATCGTTATCAATTGTGCGTTTAATGCTTAAAGTTTTATAAAATGATTTATGGCACTAGAAATATTCTTAGCAAAAACAAGGTAGTATCTACGGTGGCATAAAGGTGGCATACAATTTTCTTATTTATTACGCGCGCACACGATAACTTTTACGTGGCCACGCGATAGCTATGACGTGCGCACGCGGATATGTATTCCGCATTTGGACACTGACCGGGATCCTCGCAAAGTTCGATGAATAGTTCGATGCCCCGTGAATATGTCGAACCTACAGCGGTTAGGGACAAGTGGTTTTTTTTAATCAATCGGCCACGGAGGCCCTTAAATGATCTATGGAAGAAAATAAGAAGACCATTACACACGTAATTTGTTTTCATCAGAAATATACTATATGTATGTAAAAATCGTCATTTGCTTTCAGATCCACTATTGAAAAAGCACTTACAACATGTACGAGTTCCTAAAATAATCCGGGTAATGCCATAATTATGGAATATCGGACCACTCAGAATTGTGCGAGACGCGACATTCCGATGAGACACGAAGCGAGGCACGATATTGTAACACGAGATCTCGCAATGTCGAAGTATCCCGTACCACGAGATTTCAGAAATGAATAAAAATTTTCTTCTTTAGATAGAGCAAGTATGAATTTATTGATATTCAAATAATGATTTCTGAGGAAGTTAGATGCTTGTAATCTAAAGAAATTCGCGAAAAATGTGAAATAATGCGTCATAAAAGTAGCAAAATGTAAACAATGTAGTATTTTGACTTCAATACAAAATTCTAAATCACTTCAACTGTACAAACTGCAAAAAAAAGCAGCAGGTGAAAAATGCTTTAGGTAATTAGTCAATGACTACGTTTTTGGAGCTATAAAAGTATACCAAAAATACAAAGCCTTTAAGGAATACAAATGAAAGCATTTCTCATGCATAATGGGCCTTTAAGTGATTTTATGTAGACTATAAAGGGAATACTACTTAGCGGTATATGACCTGGAATCAATTTCTTGTCTCGCGTCGACGAATGAGATGCGAAGCGAGACGCGAGATTTCGGCGAGATGCGAAACGAGTCACGATATTGTATCATTCAATATCAACCGATTACGGTGTTCCGTTTGGACAAAAGTAACAATTTTGAATCCTTGAACAGCTATGCGCAATGGTACAAAGGTGAAATTGAGATGGTACGATGATTAAAACACGATGACACGATGGTGAAATCACGATGATGCGATGACACGATAGAGAAAATAAATATCGCGTTTTCATCATCATGCCATCGCAGTTTCATCATATCGTACCATCGTATTTTCGCCATCGTAACATCGTCTTTCACCATAGTATCATCACGTTTTCATCATCGAACCTTCGTTGTTTCACCATCGTACAATCGTTGTTTCACCATCGTCCAGTCGTTGTTTCACGTTCGTACCATTATGTTTTCACCATCGCACCATCGCGTTTTCATCAACGTAACATCGTGCCACCGCGCTGTCACCATTGTACCATCGTGAACGGATTTAGTTTTGTTGTTTCAGTGTACGCTTTCAGGTTAAGCCAATCAATTACTTGAATTAAAGATATTATGATTAATAGTTGTCTTTAGGTTTTCATAAAGAAAGCATAAGCACACCTATTGATGATTACACTTGACATGACGTAAAACGGCGAACCTCGATTCTAAAAAAGAATTTCTGCCTTGGGAATAATGTGACAAATAATTCATAAAAAATGACATGAGACAAATGTGCTTTCTTGTCCCTTAAAAACACATGAGACAAATGTGCTTTCTTGTCCCTTAGAAGACTTGATCGGAGCACATTTGTCACACAAATGAGTTTTTTGGGGTGGACATTTGAGGTCCCATTTGTCTCATGTGGGACAAATGCGACCGCATTGGTCTTACGTAAGACAAATGTTTTGCGAGACAGATGCGCTCCTACAGAGCTTAATCAAATGACACTATCTGAATTGTATTGTAGAAGTCGAATATAGATATTGAGGCAAACGAAGAACCATAAAAGACTTAATTATGCCGGTAAACATAATGTACTTGACATATATTTGATTATATCGATGGTTCAACGTTTATCAAAATTGAACCAAGTGTAATATAGAATAATGTGATTTGCTTAAATTGTATCTGTGCTTATCTGACATCGTAAAAGAACAGAGAAGATGGTGGTAATGTTATAATTATCCTTAAAATCTGATCTGAACTATCTTTCATTGTTTTACCAGCGATTTGTACGAGTAGCCCTAAGATAACCTTCGATTCTTGCCACTTTAATATCAATATACGTACTTTTTCACCAGCGTTCTCTGATTCTTGAAGTTCTGATATAAACCACTGTAGCATACCAGCTGGATCCGTGGCGTTGATATATAACCACCTTTGTTTAAAACAACGATAGAGACATATTAAAATGCAAATATCTAATTTGTTTCATAAACCTGATGATTTTGTGAAATATATTTAAATATTTTTTCCCTGTTTAGAACATGGAACACTGAAAATTCAGGGATTTTCTATAGCAAAATACACTGAACAACAATCAGTATAGAGCATGGCCATAATGTGTCGAAGCAAAGGCTTATCACTTTCTGTTCCACCAGATGAAAAAATAACTTAAACAACTAGCTTAAAAGACTTGCCAATCCCGGCTGCATAGTTTTAGACTTATTCCCTCAAAAATTGTTTATGTAACAAAATGGTATATATATTTTGAAACTTAACTAACAAATCTCCCTTTTCATTTATCCAAATTCGGACACTAAACAATTGATGCAAGTATAACAATAAACATGGCACATGTTTCTGATATATTACAAATGTATAACTACAAATACTTTAATCATAATACAATTTTCGTTTTTACATTGACTACATTTTTATGTTGTTTCCGTTATAAAGTTTTAATTTTTTTACGCATTTCATACTTACAAATTTGTATTACAGCACATGTTCATATTAAGGGAAATAATTCGCAGACCTGGAAATGGTTTCGTCGAGTAATAACCGGCCCTAAAACAAAATAAGTCCATAAACATTATTCAAAGGGAAACAATTAAATTTAAAACTCGGTTATAGCGAACTCGTCTAAGTCATGAATTTTGTACGCTACATCCGATGTTTGTTATAACCAATATGAGGAATGAATCTTCTTGTTAAATATACACATACATGTAGTCGAATCAATTCATTTGCATTTCAGCGAACGGCCAATTAATAAGACTGCAAAATCATTACTAACGTGCGGTATTATAAAGATGAATATACATGTATCTACAGTTTGACATTTTATTTATAATTCTTCACTTGTTATGCAGAACAAACAGATATTAACAGTAAATGTAAGTTGTTTTAGGCAGTCACATTTGTTCTATGCATGCGGCATTGCACTGAACAATTCGGCAAAATAATGAGATCAATATGAAGATGGACATTGACCTATTTAATAACATAACAATATATAACAATAATCTCAACGTACCTTTTAATGGTTGTTTCCGTATCTTTTGGTAACCAATTTAGCCAGTTTTTCGCCACGTTGTTGTACAACCATGTTTCACTTTGATTTCCGGTTATATACGGTGGAGGGAAACTTTAAAAAAGTGAATACAATATTAATTAACATATTCGGCTTAACATCTTCAGATTCATCAACCATTCATTCAATGATTGCTTATGAAGTTACCTGTAACATGCCCCTAAATACATCAAATATTTACATATTAGCACAAGAATAATAAATTATTTAATACTATTACTTACCAAATGTTGTTATGAAGTTAATAATTAAAATATGATTCAGATAGACTGTTACTACAAATTTGCTATTTGTTTGATTTATTTTACTCATTTACGTCACACCGACAAAGGGCATAAAACAATTAATGTGTGCCCATCCGTGCATTATAAGGGATGTCTGTGTTCGAGTGGTTGAGGTCGCCGACATCAGATCACTTGCCCTGTTGCCCGTCACCGCTGTGGATACGAATCCCGTCATTAACCTTGGATACTTTCATGTGGGAAAGACAACTTACAGAAGGTCGGTGGTTTTACTCCGGTTCCAGCCCTCGCCTTAATAAATTGCACGGAGGGGCACTCCAAAACAAACGTATAAGAGAGTTATGTTTTAGGTGTTTTAAGGCTCCTTTATGAGATATTATCAAATACTTTAGGACAAAAAATACATTAAGAAAATACGTTCGGACAGACTGACGGACAAGCTGATTCCAGTATACCCCCTCACAACATATGCAGGGTATAATGAAGTATTTATTACCTGTCAACAGGCGCACTTTCATGATTACCGAGGGTGTTAAACACGATTTTCTTAGGAAGGTATGTCTTCATGTAATTTGTGAACACGTCAATGGCGGAAGTTTGGTCAGATCTCGTCTGATTCCAGATATTGTGTGGCGGAATATCTCCCGTGAATATGACGTAATCAAACTGTAAACAAAGAGAATTGCTATACGCTTACGTAACACAAAATTGTTCTGCCTAAACTGTCTGAAGTTGGTTATATGGAATTTAATACAATATATTATATTTAAAATAATAAAATGATAAAATTGTATACAGTCAGCAGTATGTCTCGAGCCTGGTCATACTGTATGGATGAACATGCTGACCTAGATTTATAATGATGATATATTCCTAAAATATCGCCGCTAAAGTTCAAATGGTTAATGTTGTTCATATCCAACCACCTGATATTCATTATCTTTAAATCATTTCCACTTTGAGCTATTAATACGTATATCTGGACAGATAACAAAGCATCCGTTGATCAAACTTTCGACTTGCATCTTAAACACTGCAGCTTTGATCTAATTGAAGGTATGACCATAACGAGTAAGAATATTTTTTTTAAAAAGAGTGTTTAATAACACAATATATTTACGTTTTTATATCTTTGTCATATTAATCTAATCACAATCACCTAATTTCGAAAGATGTTTATCTAACTGATATAACTGAATGTAAAGGTGACAACAATGTGTATGAACCTGGTCTTGTATAGAATGTAGATGTTTGAACAAACTCTCCACTGTAACTGGAGCACTGTCACAATTCCTGAAATCTCCATATTTACCTGCGCCTGTTACCCCCGGTGCTGTTGATTAATAGAAACATAGATATATACTGAATAAAAAATATACACAATCTTAGATTCTGGTAATAAAGACGGTTGTTTCAGCACAAATTGATACATGGTGTCCAAATCGGCACTGAATACATAAATAATTTAAAATATTTGTTTGAAGGAACAAATGGCAATCGAACTAATATTAAATCTTGCTTAATAAATCTGTCAAAAGACACTTGCCTTTGAATTTTAAATGCTAAAACGTTGATATAATCACATAAACACATTGTAAAAAACTTTTTAAAAAGCTTAATTCATTTTTTTTTCAATAGATCTTAATGAAATAAAAAGAAACAAATTAATGGCATGCTAACTAGTATTAATCAAGTAAATTTATGAATACGTATTAATCACGGTATCTATCAATATAATTATTGTACATGACGGGTAAAAAGTTAAAGTTAAATAAAATACATGGTGGTCCATTTTGTATTCTACAACACAAAGGTTCTCCGCACTCGGCGTTTGTTCCTTCCATATAATCTTTATCCATGTGAAAATCTGTCAGATGTAAAATACGTAATCTCGGGGAATCCGGCTGAAATGTAAAAGTAAAAAGTTTGAAATAAATTTATGTATCAATATACACTGCTTAAAGTTCCCTTTTTATCGATAGTTCATCATTAAACAATTTCATTTTGGAATGCAATCAACTTTTGACACATGCTGATGACCAAGTAGTGATTATTAAATACGTCGCTGATATATGACAAAAACCCGTTATAAAATGCAAAGTTATTATTTAAAAACGTAGTGAGCAAATGATCTTAAATGTTGCATATAAGTCGAAAAATATTCAGTCCCTCATGTCAAAAAGCCTCAGTGGAGTCCTTTTATAGAACAGTGTCTTCTAAATAGCATGATGAAACATATCGCGTGGAATTTGTACAAAGATCATTTGCTCACTACGTTTTTACAGAAAAATAATTACAATTTTGAAAAATAAACAAAATTGTTGTGACGTTTTCAATCAAATCGGTCTAAGAATAACACAAAATACGATTTGGTATATTCCTTAAATATCTTTTGCAAATATTTTCTGGTTAAAGTGCCCAGGCCGATCGATGTTAAGATATTCAAATTTTATGTTAAAATTTTTAGGCTTTTGAACCTCAAGTAAATTATTACTTCACCTTTGGCAATGATGGCGGAATTACTGGTGGTTTGGGAACATCAGGAAATGTAACATTCCACATTGCGTTCGGGTTATAAGGCTCTCCGCAGTCAGTTCCTAACACGTGACTGCATACTTCTCTCGGGGAATACGACAACCGCAAAACCACTGTAAATATTTCCTCCTGTATAACAAATTCAGTATTAAGTGTAAAACTTATCGAGTATAATTTAATTTCAAGCGGAGAGTGTAACAGTAACGGGCAACATTTTTAACAAAAGTCAAACTAGATAGAGGTTCTCTTGGAAAAAGCAAAACTATCTTTTCGAGTATGAACCATGTTTTCGTACCTTTCATACGCTTTGCCGAACACTAGATTTATAAGGCAAAATCCTAGCCCAAAACACTTCTAATTCAATAAAATCAAAAAGGGTCACCAGCATTATTGTATTGACAAATTTCAATGTTTGGCTCCGGCTGATTCCTCATGATTACGCACATAATCTTTTTGTCTTTTAACAAAAATATAGTCAAAATGACATAATTGTTGAAATAGAAATCTGAAGAGTAACTTAATGATGATGGCCGATAATTTATGACATATGTTTTTATTGCATATTCAATTAAACTAAATTACAGCAGTTTCGTATTTGTAACAGTGGTTGTGGTCTGAGAAGTGTTCAGTGATCGGTGGTCATGGTATTTGATGTGCCAAATGGGCATTTGTCATGGTTAAATAAGTGCACTGTGAGCAGTGGTCATGGTTTGATAAGTGCTCAGTGAGAAGTGGTCAAGGTTTGATCAGTGCTCAGTGAGCAGTGGTAATGGTGTCAGAACTGCTATATGAGCAATAGTCACAATGAGAAAAGTGCAGAGCAGCAGTCATGTTGTGAGAAGTGTTCAATGTGTAGTGGTAATGGTATCAGAAATGTTCAATGTGTAGTGGTAATAATGTGAGAAGTTTTTAATGTGAAGTGGTAATGGTATGAGAAGTGTTCAATGTGTAGTGGTAATGGTGTGAGAAGTGTTCAATGTGTAGTGGTAATGGTGTAAGAAGTGTTCAATGTGTAGTGGTAATGGTGTGAGAAGTGTTCAATGTGTAGTGGTAATGGTGTGAGAAGTGTTCAATGTGTAGAGGTAATAGTGTCAGAAGTGTTCAATGTGTAGTGGTAATGGTGTGAGAAATGTTCAATGTGTAGTGGTAATGGTATGAGAAGTGTTCAATGTGTAGTGGTAATGGTGTGAGAAGTGTTCAATGTGTAGTGGTAATGGTGTGAGAAGTGTTCAATGTGTAGTGGTAATAGTGTCAGAAGTGTTCAATGTGTAGTGGTAATAGTATCAGAAGTGTTCAATGTGTAGTGGTAATAGTGTCAGAAGTGTTCAATGTGTAGTGGTAATAGTGTCAGAAGTGTTCAATGTGTAGTGTTTATGGTGTCAGAAGTGTTCAATGTGTAGTGGTAATGGTGTCAGAAGTGTTCAATGTGTAGTGGTAATGGTATGAGAAGTGCTAATAGGACAATAGCCATGGTGTAAGAAGTGCTCATTGAGCAGTAGTCATGGTTTAACAGGTGCTCCATTAACAGTGTTCATTTTGTGAGAAGTGCTTGGCGAACAGTGCTCATGGTGTAAGAAGTGATCTATAAGCAGTGGGCGCTTAATAATCAGTGGTCATGGTTTGAAAAAAATGCTCAGTCAGAAGTATTCATATTGGTGGTCAGTGAGCAGTTGCCAGTGTCCTGGAGTAATCGGTGTTATTTAAGTAATGTATTTAAGTAATGCCCATTTTTAGGTAGTGCTCATTTAAAAATAGAGTGAGCAGTGATCAATGAGTTATTTACATGAAGTGAAAATTGCTCAGTAAATAATGTTTCAGGAGTACGCAATGCTCAGTAAAAAATGCCAATGCCAGTTATTTAAATCATCAGTGGCATATGTTTATAATGCGAGTTTAGTAATGCTAATGAAACGAGTGATATACTATGAGTAATGTTCACAGGGTGAGCAGAGCACAATGAGCATATTTATAGTACGAATATAATCTGTGAATTATATTCTTGAAGAGTTTAGTACTCAAAGTATGAAGTGTTAATGCTGTGACATGTGTTCTTGTAGTGAACAGCTTTTCGTGTGAAAAAAATCGACATAACGAACAGTTTTAAATTCATAGTGCATATACTTCAGCCGTGATTAATGTTGACCTTGCGACCACATCTTAGCCATGTTGTCAGTATACGCGTTCCTATAAGATTCAAGTTATTCAAATAAAAGTCTTAAAAATCCTCATAAAATCAGTTATTTAACAATCCATATAAATAAGCTGTTATACCTTAAATTCTTCAAGGAATGCACGACACACTTTTTCATCCTCAATCTTCAGGTCTATACATGCCTCGGTGGAGAACTTAACGACATCGTCCTGTGTCGACCCTTTGTTCACCATATAACTAACACCTTCAACCAAGAGAACACATATGCTACAATCTATCTTGCTCACTCTGACTATAGTACCACACTCTGTCTTCCTGTCTGACCGCGCTAAAAACAGCTCACGTTCATGTTTCTTGACGAAGTTTGCAATCTTTGACTGTAGCTGAAACTCGTTGATTTTATTTGTCGCTTCTTCTCGAGCGTCGTCAATTTGTATAGTTTTGGTAGCTGCATTCCTTGGTCTACTATACAAATATCCTGCTGATGCCAGAAGTGTGAAAATGGTAGCTAATGTTACCGTCGCCAATGACTGTGACAATGATATGTTCATTTTTATAGAAACTGAATTTGTACAATTTTCCTACTTCCAGTTAAAGAGAGTTTTTAAAATATGAATTGCACAAGTCCTCTTGTATGTGTGGATGGTGTGAAAGTTAACAATCTATACATATGTTAGATCTACTTCATATTATAGAAACTTTATAATTGTACAAGTCCAATGTTATGTATGTGTGGTATAGAATCTGAATTAGGTTAAAATACCAGTATTGATATACAAGTTTGTACACACATGTAACACAATAATCTTTTATCAAGACCAAAATTACACGATAATAATATAGATATTGATATGTACACTGTTATAGTATGATAACTATTATAATACAAATTAATTGGTTTATCACAATAATTTGCTAAAATGTTGATCTGCTGAAAATCTAAAATTTGTATCATAACCTCACTACGGTGACACTTCTCCATGTATCAGTTTTTGGGAACTGACCCTGCCAGCAGTTCAACAGCAGATTTTGGTCAAATAGTCGTTGACAGCTATCAATTGTTATATTTTGATAAAATGGGGTCGATTTTAGCGGCAAGTTAAACGTTGCAGATCGTCTGTTAGTGGAAGATAATCAGAAACTCTCCTTTAAAATGATTTAACAAGACCGAATATCAAATTGACATTTTTACCGAGGTAGGCAAGCTAATCTAGATTATATATGTTAGACAAGACATTGATAGTGGAAGTTATCAACATAATTTCCGACAAATGGGTGATTGACATGCCTTTCGAGACTTCAACACAGGGAACATTTTACCCGACCATAAGATTTTAATTAATATGACGATTTTACGAAACTTGTGTAATCTTCTCTGCTGTTAAAGTTCATTAGAAATTGAACAGCTTAGCTTGGCTTTCAAAAATAGTCTTTCATAAATGACCAGATGATTTTATGGTTTATACGACTAGTACAAATTACCATAGATATACTTGTATCATTAATATCATTCCTGTTTGATACTTTGTGCTTATCTAAAGTTAAAAAAATAATAATAAATAACGCCTTACAATTATAGGTATTTATAGTTCTATATATGAAAATTCAACATGTATAAGTATATAAATACATCTGTTAAAAGTTTTATAATATTACAAATATAAGACATTTAAACGATATTGTTAAACTTTAAAGTAAGACAAAGGTGATTAAATACAGCATACCACACATGAACTTGGTTGATAATTTTATCGTAGTATCATGGCGTGAAGTAAGTCATTATAATTATGTAGATAATTTTAATGGTAGTATACTCCATTTATATTTACGCAGTTTTAATGCAACATATCTATATATTTGTACCCTTTAATAGCATGTACATGTATAAAACATGTATCTTGAAAAGTTAAACCTACATACACTTGAATTTGAAATGAGCTAAATTTAAACCAGGGAGTTATATTATAAGATATTATCGTAAATGGTTTGTAAACAATGAGTCAAGCGGAAATAAAAAAGAACGTTGTTTCGTAATTTATATTCTATGTGTCCTATTTCGCGACCGTGTAAAGTGTGTGTGTTTTCTAAAACAAACTTTCGTTAACAGTGTCTGATTAACAGTTATAAAGGGGGAATTAAACAACACACTCGAGGATGTGATTGAAGTGCTTAACTAATTGAAAAGATCGTTTTAACTGCACATACTCAAAGGTCAAAGTTCAGGAGCAATTATTAAGATGATAAAGATGTATAGATACTTGTAGAGTTGTGATGATAGTGATAAATTTGAACCTCGTATGACACAGGATGATTGAGTTATAACACTGTTATAACTTAATAAAATGTACATTATCATTTGAAGTACTTGTACACGATTTTATGAATGATTGAATGAGGTATACCACAATTTTACTTCTTATTTCGGTCGGTTAAAATGAAGTTTCCATTTGGATATTCCGTTTTGACGGTTGCCTTAGCAACCATGGCGATCTTTTTAACATCTGCTGGTATAATGTATACGAGGACACAGGGAAGCAGAAGTGTTACAAGTCATGTCATTGACGTGAACACAATCGTGAGGGAACACTCATCCGTTGACGTTGTAGAGACCAGTCATCAATCCGAGATATCAAAATTTGCCAAGAAACATCAGCATGAACTTAAGGCGGCAAGAAAAGACAGGAAAAGAGAATGTGGTTCTATAATAAGTGTAAGCGCAATAGACTGTGACATTTGCGTGTTGATTGTTGAAGGATTGAGTGATCTAGTGGCCAAAGGTTCCACACAAGAAGATATTGTAAAGTTCTCAACAGAAGCATGCATTGAACTAGAGATTGAAGATGCCAGGGTGTGCCCTGCTGTAGTTCAGCAATTTAAGGTCTGCTTTCTTAAATACTTGTTTCATTCCTGTTAATTTACTACGAAATTTTAACAAATTAGCCGCGTCATGACAAAACCAACATAGTGGGTTTGCGACCAGCATGGATCCAGACCAGCCTGCTCATCCGCGCAGTCTGATCAGGATCCATGCTGTTCGCTACCCGTTTCTCTACTTGTTACAGGGTTTGCAAGCGAACAGCATGGATCCTGATCAGATTGCGCGGATGCGCAGGCTGGTCTGGATCCATGCTGGTCGCAAACGCATTATGTTGGTTTTGTCGTGACGCGGCTCAAATAATAAACACGATATAGATGTCGTCATTTTCGTACAATCTGTAATCAGGAAGAGTTATAAAAGGTATAATTTATTACAAACCAAACAATTTCATACTTAAAACTAAAACCGCAGCTGAATATTGTTTTATTGATTGATAACATGAATATCGAAATGTGGTTTCAAGAAGTTTAGGTGACTTAAGAAGGTGTGATTTTTGTTACAATATTATTAGTTCTTACTAATATGCAGTTTTTTCATGTTTGCATGCAGTCTATGTCTTTCCCAACTTTTATAGCAGGCTCCGTTCACAAGCATTTTCCCACAGAAAAATCCTTTATAAGCATGCAGTTTTCCCATATATTAATTTACATAAAGTCCCCCCCCCCACTTTACCAAAATAATATAGTTTTAATTTCCCTTAAATTGGAAGAACCTAGGGGAAGGCCCTCTTCCATACCTGTGAAAAAGCCCTATATTTCAATTTGTATATACCTTAAATCTGAAATAAAACAGAATAAAAAAAATCTTCATAATTATGACACAATGTAAGACCTGATTAATATTAAATTGTCAGTATTTGATTGATAAAATTAAATTATAAAACGTTATGTTGAAATAGTTGCTTAACATTTTGTAAATGTTGTAATTTTGTTCTATTAAATAAATGTCTTGTTTAAATATAGAACGAGCTGTTTGGAGTAGTGTTACGTCTGTCATACTCGCCAAAAGAAGTGTGCAGTTATATTTTAGGAACTAATTGTGGAGATCCATTTAACCCATTTACAATGTGGAACGTTACATTCCCAGATGTTCCAAAGCCACCAGTAGTCCCTCCATCTTTACCAAAGGTAATTAATCCTCTTTGAAAATGTCATCATTGAAAAAAGCTTTAAAACGGACACGGAAACATTAATATTTGTTATTGGTATCCCAATTTAAAGTCGTTTAATTTTTATTATAAATTCGTTTGTTTTTTCCAACAACTTCAAACTCTTATCTGGGAAAAATAATGTTTAAAGTACAGTAACATTTAATGCACGACAACTACTTGTTTGAACAGGGTTATTTGGTTATGATATGCTACAATTATTTTAAATTCTTTTAATTCCATGGCAAAAATCGTGAAAATCTTACAAAGGTAACAACACTGATACATTTGAATTCTTGTTAATTTTCCTCAATATTTAAGCTATATATGGCTATAAGTGTTTTAATTACAGCCGGGTTCTCCGAGATTACGGGTTTTACATCTGACAGATTTTCATTTGGATAAAGATTATACGGTAGGGTCAAATACTGACTGCGGTGAACCTTTGTGTTGTAGAGCTGCAGACGGTCCTCCAGGTAAGACCGTTATGAATATTTCCATAAATGCGCGCCTCTCAGTATCGTTCCGTACCCAAATGTAGATGAAATATTTTTAAATAGTTTTTACCCTAAATGATTTAGTTTGGTAAACGTTTTTTCGTGCAACTTTTAAAGTTGCATTATCAACTTTTGAAAGCTTTGTAGGTCACAATCCAGGGCCAATAACTCTTAACATAGGTCTTGACTGGTAATAGCTCTAGTGACTTAAAAAAATGCTTGGTATAACTATGGAATGGTGACATTGGAGTACATTCTATATCTTCAGGGGCCATTTTTCTAGGTCAAAGATTACAGCCCATAACTTGAGTAATGATTTTAATCGAATAATTCAACTTTTCTAACTGAAAACATCCTGTAAGTTTCGTCTTAATAACCACTGATTGTATTCATTTTAAAGTTTTTACATGGGTCCATTATTGAAGGTTACATACCAAGACTCGTAGCTTTCGCATATCATTTACTGAACACTGCGAAGTTAGTAAGTTTCTGTATGACTCGTGCAGAATGTACCGAGAAATAGCCGAGCTCTCTGAAAAGACAACTCTTGTTTTATATTTTACAGTCCCAGGAGTACCGGGTGCGGGTAAATATGGGGCCTACAGTAATTGTGACAGTGCCCCAATAACAGTGGACAGTTTGTTCCGACATTTAAAGTCTATACAGGACGAGGTTATAATTACCTTTACCTTTAATGTTATACATGTACTTGAATAAAGCAACACTGAAATTATTTTTGTCAGAAAAACGCAGAACTATTTTTAATTTAGCCATTTTTTATTTATTTGTTTTTTTACTTTGTGTGATGTGCATAATTTGATCAAAATATATTGTACATGGATGTCTTTCAGTTATTTGCCTTTTCAAACATGATAAACTTCCTTTCTTTTGTGCCTATACCCAATTTGAATTTTATAATGTTTTAATGAAACAAGAAAAGCATCGGCTTTTTATATCATGATACTTCATTTTGACATTCTTCAAAGTTATTTTATGTTGTAATAACTTACTACAGTTTGATTACGTCATATTCACTGGTGATATTCCTGCGCACAATATTTGGAACCAGACGAGATCTGATCAAACTTCCGCCATGGATGTTTTCACAAAATATATGAAGACATATTTACCAAACAAGATTGTATACAACACTCTAGGTAATCATGAAAGTTCCCCTGTTGATAGGTAAGTTCTAAATTTCCCTTTTTTGTATGTATATTTTTTTTTTGTGTAAACATGTATAATGCATTTGGAAAAAAATGAATATATAAATGTGATTCAACACACATTTCTGATATTGTTAATGTTGTTTACTTATCAAATGGAAAATAAGTAAAGTATCCCATTTTATTAAGTTTTTTATTCCGATTTTTTCAGCTTTCCTCCACCTTTCGTAACCGGAAATGACAGTGAGGCCTGGCTGTACAACAACGCGGCGAAAAACTGGCTAAACTGGTTACCAGCGGCAACAGAAACAACGATTAAAAAGTATGTCTATAAATTGTAGCAATATTAATATATCTTCTAATGGCGTCTAGCATAGTTCTAAAGTTCAAAATGAAGACCATATATCTTCTCATAATGTGTGTTTTAAATATTTCAAAACACGGCAAATTTGAATATTTCAAAACGAGACAAATTTTCCGTTCAAAGATGTATAAAATGTTGAAATACTCAGGATCAACATTTCAATTATGACACTTATAGTAATTTAAGTCTGAGTAGCGGAAAATAGAACTGTGCTCAGTACTTGTTAGAAAATTACAGTAAAAGTAAAGGTATTCCAACATTTTTTACCTTGTATAAATTCAGAAATTCTCGTCGCTTAATATATCTAGACTAATACATTTTACTGAAAAGCGTTTAATTTTGAGTTGTGTCAAATCGTTATTTAATTTAAAATCGGAGACACGTGCACGAAAAAAAAAAACAGTCTCAGTTACAAGTTATTTTATATGTTTACAGGGCTGGATTCTATTCACTTACTCAACATTTCCTCGGCCTTAAGATCATCTCACTTAATATGAATATGTGTAACAGCGGAAACTGGTAAGTGTTTGACATTGTTCATTATTAATTGTTATTGTTCATCCAATTAAAGATGACCTTGTAAATTTTAGGTCATTCTTATTAATATACGTATATTATTGTATAAATTAAACTTAGTATGTATACAAAGCTAATTAAACGTTCATGGTGAATGTTGATTTAATAAGATAGGGTAAACCTGTTTTAACAGTTAAAGTGCCGAAATGTTAAAGATAGATCTACCCTGCCCTGCTTAAAATATAGAGTTGTCACTGTGTAATAAAAGTTTAAAAGGATTTCAATACAAATTGAAAATTTAAAAACAGATGATTCACCAGCAGTATAGAACCTGGTCTGATATGAAGGCTGGCCTGGCACTATAGTGGTGGCAAATGCTTATCACTTTCAGTTACCTAGGTTATAATTAATTTCAATCTCCATTTTACAGAAAGCAAATGTTGCTCAATACCATGCGGCTCAAAAAGCCTTTAACACTACATATACCAATTTTCAATATAAATTTTACGGTCATCTTTAACAGTAAAAATAGAGGCAACATTATATTCATTACTCATATGTAGTGTATAATAAAAAAACACTTAAGCTATTCACGTCATTTGAAGGATATTTTATTTAGGTGGTTATATATCAACGCCACAGATCCAGCTGATATGTTACAATGGTTTATCTCAGAGCTGCAAGCCGCAGAGGACGCTGGTCTAAAAGTTTGTATCATTTGTATACCTAATCCTTTTGGTGACGAGTATCACAAAGTATGGCATGCCCAAGTAAACTTTTCAAAAATGCTAATACTAGATCCTATATAGATTGTTGTTTTGTGTTTTTTTCGTTCATGTCTTTTTAAATACCGAATGGGTTGTCATAAACCCCTACAAAGGAACCAGTTATATTGGCTGCTACCTACTTTGTGTGACGACTATCTTATTTTCTGCAATATTTTCCAAAGTGATTAATTTGATGGAAATTTGTTCAAACTGTGCAAAAATCCGTCGAATGAATTAGTTGTAATTCAGAAAGATCTTACAACAGTCCGTAACGACCGAGGAAAGTGCTTTCTACGTGGTGGTTAATACATTTTATCAAGTATATAAATCGTTAAATAAAGATATGGACGTGGGTTTACCAACATACACTCGGGAGGAGTCGAAATTGTGCTGGTGCTGCTTTAACTATAAGTAAGGAAATGACAACTAATGTGTTTACTACAGATAAAGAAGTTTAAGGACATTCACTGAGGTTCAAACGCTTGAAACATAAAATTTAAATTTATTACATAGATCAGCTGAGGTACTTGAAACAGAAAGATATGCAAAAGAAAATTATGAAATATGCTCAGATTAAATTGAAAACTTTGTAATTGTGCTATTCTTAGACTGATTTAAGCGAAAAGTGTTGCAATGCTTTTCAATTTCGGGTCATTTTGCACAATAAGAACAATTATCTGGAAGAACGAACTGAGTCAACGATATGTAATTTTGCACACAAGTTATTGGTCTAGACTTGTATCAAATAGAGCGTTTATCTAAAGAAATTCCAGTTCCGTTATGTCAAAAACCCTCAGTGGAGTCCCTTTGAAATAAAGTAATAAGTAATAACTTAGTATCAAATTACCACTAATTACTGCCGCCACAGCACTAGCCAGTCCCACAACCGGCAGAAATCTGAAATATGGGGAATTATACCCCATAAAATTAAACAATATATGACAACCCTAGCTTTGTCTTTTTAAGTAAACTGTAGAATTCTGCATAGTCCACGCACAAAGCGCTGATACCAAGGTTTATTGAATCCTAAGAATGAAAGGTATTTTGAGACATAATTGTAACAAAGTCACTGATCAAACATATTGATGTAGATTACAACATGAGTCGTTAAAACAGCTTTTGTTATGTAATATTCAGGTACATGTATTAGGACATATATACCCCGGATGTAGCTGCTGCCTTAAACCATGGAGCTGGAATTATTACAAGATTATAAACAGGTGATGTTAAAATTTTCGTATTGCAAATTAACATAAAGCCAAGTCTTGATATATTATTATTTTTTTAGTTTTGTTTTTCTTATTTTGTGGGTATATAATTTATAAATGTTTCTGTGCCAAAAGCTATAACTGACAAAGGAGACGCTGAAATACGAATCTTGTCTGTGCAAAAGAGTTAAATGTTTCGGTGTAATTATTTTATTATCTTTAAACAATAATGAAAGAAATATAAAAAATGCGCTCGAACAGTAACAATAATGCATTAAAATACACTGTTAATATAATTTTATTTTTATTCTTCGATACATTCATATATACATAACTGATATTGTTTTGATTCTCTACAGATATGAAAGTACAATAGTTGAACAATTCTTTGGGCATACGCATGCTATGACATATCAAATGTTTTATGACGAGGAAACATCGCAGCGCCCCCTGGGTGTCACCTACATGCCCGGGAGTATTACTACATACTCGAACTTGAATCCAGGCTTTAGAATCTACGAAATTGACGGCAACTACACTGGCTCATCTTGGGTAAAAGTTCTTATTATCAGTTTTTGAATTCAGGCATGTTCTGCGTTTAATTGTCCTTTTTACAAGTTTACATCTCAAATAGTTTGAGTCTTCGGCTTTTATTTTAACATTATTCATTTAAACCAAAGCTTGATTGTGAAGGCAACTTGTAGATTGTTTGAACCACCATATAATCCACTGCCAGGAAATAAAAACACTGGTGTTACATGAAAAATAGGGCTCAAACCCACGTTTCCATGCTGGAGAGGCAGTATCAAGAGCCACTACCCAATAACCAACCGCTCACGCCACTGCTGTGCATTGTCTCTGAGAATGATTATGTGTTCATTTTGTTAATATATTGTTGTCGCCGCGCTTGTATTTTTCAGAGAGTACAAGACTATACCAACTATTTTCTAAATCTAACACATGCAAACCTTTATGGTGAAGTAACCTGGCAGAAGGAATATTCGGCTAAAGTAAGTCCCCTTTTGTTGATAAATTTTTGCAAACGTACCACACTTATTTTTAACCACCAATACCAAAAAATGTATGCCTGTTGCTAAATATCTTTATCAATAGGCAACGTTTAGTCAATGGACCGCGTTTCTTATAAAGAATCGGGGGTTTTATTTTTATAATTTAAGAGGTTTAATATAAGTCGCAGGGAGCCTCTGCCCCCTCCTTTCGTGAAGCCTTTCGTTACTAGTTCCTTTACTTCGATTGTACTGTTATATTTACGTTCAATGTATTTAATATGTCATGATTGTATTTTATTGATACTTTTATTGTATCTTGCCGACTTAAAAAATGTTTCCCAGACTAGTTTGACCGTTCGAGTATTTTTTCTGCCGAAGCTTTTTTTGCGGAAGATTCGCTTGATTCGTTCGGGAGACAACGAGGGCCGTTATTTTGATGCCCTCGTTGTTTTGAAACTATCTTGTTGTTTTAGATAATTGCATAAATAGTTGCATCTCTTGACATCAGGTCCATGCAACAGTTGTCTTCAGTGTCTAATTGGGGATATTTGCGTCATATGGCTTTTCTTACCATTTGTTTTGCCTATTTATGCGATCATTTGTTACGTCCGAACTTTGGCAGCGATGTTTTTTCCTCAGATGCTTTTTTTTAAATTTTAGTATTGATTTGTCATATTTTATTTAAAGGATTCTTATAAGATGACGTCATTGTTTCCAAAAGACTGGAATGATTTAATCTACAGAATGAAAGCAGACGACACTTTATTCCAGATATTCTGCAGGTGAGGAAGACTTAATTTATATACACTTATGTTCCATTTTATAATCTAAGCAATCCATTTACTAGAAATTATAGGAGTATACAAAAATTCTGCTTTTTTATTTGTGATATATAGAGGAGTTCGCCCGCATATCTTATGAAACATGAGAACATTTTCAAAATGTTGTCATTATTGTTACAATTGTAGATTTAATCTTGTCTACGGTATTTGCTTTCCTAAAAAACGACTTTCAGTGTGTCAAAGTATTCAACAAAATCCCTTTACCGTTAGAAACGATGTATATGGTGATTTGTCATATTTCACAAAATGTTCGTTAAATTGTATTTTGGGTTTGTAAAATTAATACATAATCTTTATAAAATAATGGTCCAAAATGAAAACTTTTAAAGAACGCCAAAAAACGGCAAAACTTAAAATATTACATGCGGTATCTGTAAATGCAAAAAAAAACAACAACAGGCAACATATTTTAGGGTGATCAGTATTCAAATAAAAATAACTGTAACCACCCAGCCATAAAAAGCCAAATAGAACAAACTAATAAACACTTAATTTATGTCATGCCAAACGATCTTTGAAGGGTCGGAAATATAACACGCCTGGTTGTGTTCGAGACGACAAAACCAGTCATTTATTGTATATAATAATTATGTAAATTATTACTTTTGAATATTTTTATTTTTCATAAAATCTTAGAAGTTTTTACTAAAATTTGATTTTCTTAAATATATTGCTCATCTAGAGGCACCCAGCTTTGATGTGGTTAAATCCAAACAATGTAGTGCATATCCTGAATGTTTTACCATATTTTTATATTACTTTTCCAGGCATAATTCTAAGTCCGCACCGACCAAATGCAGCACATGTACCGGGGACTGCAAGAAGAATTTTCTGTGTGGTCTGAAAACTGGTCGAAACGGTGATCCTGACATTTGTGACGATTTATAGAGACGTATTTTCTGATATGTTATTGTCTGATATGTACTCGTACAATGTAGTCATACAGTGCAATATTTACTTTTATAATACTGCACGTTTGTAATGTCGATTTCCATTGGCCAATCATGATGTTTATATCATAAGATATACTCATAGATTAGGCTGTGCAGAGAATTATGTCTGCTTAGCTTTATAGTGGGCCATATTCACATTACGTTCTTTTCAGAATTTGAACTACACGTTGTATTACATGTTATTTATTATATTTAAAAAATGTTCACAACGTATTATCTTATTTATATTTTTACATGTACTCTAGTGAATTGAATGTAGCTATGCATTTTCTTGTTTCGGTCGGCTCTATACTGGTGATAGAGGCATATAATGATCGCCAGTGGCATTCAAAGTTTTTATTGTTATCATAGTCCCATTGTTTGATTCTTTAGACTATGTACTTTATCATTTTGCGTCAGAATTACAAATTACAAAATATAGGTGTATATTTTCCTTCGAAAATGTTCTAAGATTTGGTGAACAAGATATTGTAAAATTTAAAAAGTAGCTTTTTCATTTTCAGTTAGTTTTTCACTAACATTATTGCACAGATTGTTAATTTAAACTAAAAAGTTATTTATTTTTCAAATGAAAGTACATGAAAATGTTTTTCCTAAAGTGTGATTTGTGATAAAATTATGAAACATTTTATGAAACTTTCACTATTGTGTATCACAATATCATGCTGGCGTTTGATCTTCAATTATTGCCTTGACGTATAGACCAATAAAAAATATCAATTAGCTTTGGTTTATTTTACATTTTTTTCCTGATAACTCGCTGTATCGGTATAACATGATTTGTGATATAGCATTGAAATCTGCAGTAAATTACAAAAAAAAGATGCAAAAATGCGCAATGACACATGCCTTTTTTATGCAAATGAAACATTTAAACAAATGACCTCTTCCAGGAAAATGACCTCTTTCAAAACGTTAGTGTTAAAGATTGAAAACTGCTAAAACGTTGCTTTGAGGCATACATTTTCTACTGTATCTTGTGAACAGACTCAAGCCCAGACTCGACTCTGAATTTTTTTCCTATTCTTTTTTTCGTTTCATTCTCCGCTAGGAATTTCCCCTTTCCAGATCAACTGTATACAATGTCGTCAACATCATAGAGACCATGTGTTGCCTGTAATTACCATCTGTTTTGCATTTTGATTTTAATAAAAAGTAAACAAGAGTAATATTAAGCTAAATCGCAAGTCAGTTACAATGAGCTATGTTGTAACTTACAAGTTAAGATGAGTTATTATTTACTCATATTGTTAGTTACTGCACAGTGAGTTATGTTATTTTGTTTGTCAACATAAATACATGTAATACGATTCGTGAACAGTTACGAATGTTTGTATGAAAAGGTTTGGGTAATCCCCTATCAAAGTAGCTTGCTATATTCATATGGAACATTATCAAAATAAGAATAACTGCCGCAAACTAATATTACAACTTTCAAACACATATTCTTATTATCTTATTAATTTATCCTTGTCAAAATTTGAAAGTCATGGAAATAAAAGAAACACAGTTAGTGAAACCCGCAGCTGGATACTGTTTCTGTATGAGAGACAATATGAAAGGTAATCAACAGTGTTCGATCTTACCATAATCGGTGTACAATAATTCTGATAGACAATTCTGACATGAAGTACAAGATAATATTACTGTCTACATAGCCCTTTCAGTAAAATGGAAATCCGATGAAACTAGCGAGAACAGAAGTGAATTGATGAGTGAAAAACACAGACTAAGGTACATCGATGATCAGCATCTCACATTCTTTCTGCACTAGCCATATCATTATTTCTCCTGTGCGTTTTTCTTCTTTTTCCTTTACCTAAGCTATTTGTCATTTGCAAATACAGAGTGATTTAAGAAAACAAATTAAACGACTTCCGCTCATGAACTGTAGATGGTACTTTAACCTGCAGGATTCTCTTTAATCTGTCTTCATATAAATTAAGCTTTCTTTTCACGAAACTCTGCAACCCGTGATTTTAAAAGGAACATTTTGAAGGACCAAAGCATCAAAATTAAAATATCACATAATCTCTACATCTGCTTAGCAATAGAATATGTATAGAGTGATATACTTAGCAACGTCGAACGAGTTCCCATAAACAAAATAATGTTTTGCTCATAACAAACTTGATTGTAGAGGAAGATTACATGTATATAATGAATATAATCAATTATCTCGTGCTAGGGTTGCATCAGTACACACTCAGTACAGCAGTACTAATATTTAATATTTTAATACAAAATTTCCTACTTGACTAAAGCCGTCACGTGTACAAGTTCGAAGGTCATATATCAGACGAGTTAAACAGATAAACTAAATATTGATAGCGTTAAATGCTGATAATAAGATATGCTGATATACAGATTCACTTAGCATATGACATTGTAAAGTGCAATCTAATTTTACTATGTAAAAGCACCAATTATTATTGATTTTACTTATGAATTTTGGAGATATAAAGAAGCATATTTAGATTTGATGTAAATTATCATTTAGATATAAAATTATGGCACACACACTGTCCACCATGTTGGTTGTTTTTACGTTAGGAACCATATTGTTGAGGATACAGGCCAGCCCAAGTATAACTAGACAAGTCATTGACGTCAACATTGCAGCGAATCAACATGCGTCCATCAACGCTTTAGAGGATATTGCTAATTTTGCTATGAAACATCAACATGCACTTTACGCGGCAAGAAAAGACAGGAAAATGGAATGCGGTTCTATTAAAAGTGTGAGCCCCATCGACTGTGACATCTGCGAGTACCTTGTTGAAGAGTTGAGCGACCTTGTGGCCAAAGGTTCGACGCAGGAAGATATAGTTAAAGTTTCAACTGAAGCATGCATTGGATTTAAGATAGAGGATGATAGAGTTTGTCGAGCTGTGGTCCAAGAATTTAAGGCGAGTTTTACTTTTTTCTATTATTTTACTGATAGCTAAAACATCTGATTCTGTTTTTATCTATGAAAGGTTAAAAAACCAAGTTCGTGAGGAATCTGACTTTTTTTATCACATAACTTTGAAGTGTTTGCGACTTGGTAAAGACGTAACATCATTAGCGTTACACAAGAATAGGGTAAAGTCACGTTTAAAGTCAAAGTTACTGTATTAGCGATGAAAAACAGTTCTTATTTCGGGTATGTGGTAAATAAGTTTTGAGTGTACATTAAATTTATTGAACTCATGGACAAAATGATATTATGTTCGCTCATTCAATATTTTCTATGTGTTTCATATGAAATTGCATAATTCTTTATGTGTACAGGATGAGCTCTTCGGGGTTTTGTTGGGACTAGCCTACTCGCCAAAAGAAGTATGCACTTACGTGTTAGGAACTGACTGTGGAGAGCCTTATAACCCGAACGCAATGTGGAATGTTACATTTCCTGATGTCCCCAAGCCACCGGTAGTTCAGCCATCATTGCCAAAGGTGAACTTTAAGTTTCACTTCTAAATGTAGATAGTATATGTATTTGAGACGCATTTTATACTCAAAATATCAATAATGCGTGTCATTCTTGTTTTATGGCTATTTGGCAGACTTCTAAAGTTTTAAATAAATCTAGCAGCAATAAAATTAATTTTTAGCATATCTCATACTTCAAAATATGCTGCTATTCTTAACTGGTATATATACGCTTGTCTTGCGCAAACAATAACAAAAAAACGAATGAAGTATGACATAAACTTTTTAAGGTATATAAGTTAATAGACCATTTTCATTTTCCAATTAAGCCGGATTCTCCAAAATTGCGGGTTTTACATCTGACAGATTTTCATATGGATAAAGATTATATGGAAGGAGCGAACGCTGAATGCGGAGAACCTTTGTGCTGTAGAATTGAAGATGGACCTCCGGGTAAAACAATTTTACTTACAGAGCTTTGTTTCTTAACATTTTCTGTTTATACATGCACTGTATATAATAATTGCATACCTAATCGTCTATATGTGAAAAAAATCATCAGAAATACAAGAAACAAAAGAAATTGTAATAAAGTGTAAATTTTAAGTGTTTTTTTTGTCCATTTTTGTTAATATTAAGTGTTTATTTTCGAAGCATCTGGGGACGCAGGGGCAGGAAAATATGGCGACTATAGAAGTTGTGACAGTGCTCCAGTAACAGTGGACAATTTGTTCCAACATCTCACTTCTATTAAAGACGAGGTAGCATTTATAAACAATATTACATTTCGTCTGTCCATAACAACTTTGTTCATTCAGTGGATCATACCCATGTTAGCAAAACATATAACACTAACACTTGACTAGATAGGAAAACATGTAACAATATTTCTCTAATCCATCCCATTATTCTCCGTGATGGAAACAAAATCTACCGGCCTTTGTAAAAACGATTACTTTTTTTCTGAATTTCTAGTCAGGAATAGATTTTTCACATTTTTTAATATTCTTTTTCTATTTGCATGATTGAGTTTTATTTTGAAGAAAGATCAAAACACTTATTTCATTTTTATGTATTATTACTGGAAGGGTAACTTGTGTACATGTATATAGTGCGATTGAAAACAATGATGTAAATTACGTACATTTCTTACTTAAATCTCAGAATATTGGCCAGTGTTTGGTATAAGAGAATAATAATTTGAATTCATGGACATTTTTTTTTTCAAAAACATTCTAGTTATGAGTTTTTTTTTAAAACCTATATTGGAATAGCCACTAACCAAGTGTTATATTTGTTTTGTGTACGAGTACTGTGCTCAATAATATATAAGAACATCTTTATTTTTGGCCGGATGCCTTAGAACACAAATAAAATTGTTTGAATTGAATCTAATTCATTTAACACAACCAATTTTTTGACATTTTGACAGACCTTAGTTACTTCGAGCACAACAAAGAATTGATATGAATTTCTTTGAATCAGAAACTGTAAACGAGGCCATGCAGATGGTGTAAATCTGTGCTTTGATATGGAATTTTTGGACTGACAAAAGAGCTCGATTGATAAGATAGGATTCAATAATGATTTATATTATTAGAGGAAGTTCATTGTGAAATTAATACATTTTGTGTTTTGATTGACAGTTCGATTACGTCATATTCACTGGTGATATTCCTGCGCATAATATCTGGAACCAGACGAGATCTGAGCAAACTTCCGCCATGGATGTTTTCACAAAATATATGAAGACATATTTACCAAACAAGATTGTTTATAACACTCTAGGTAATCATGAAAGTGCCCCTGTTAACAGGTAATATTTTATTGTTTTCTTGGGTATAAATCTATAGTTTACATATTAGTTTCAACCGTGAAGATGAAAGGTTGTTTTTAAAAACTAGTGTTATTAATGTTATTTCTTGAATAAAATAAACATAGCTATTTATAAGTATTGTTTTTATGACACGCATTTCTTTTGGATAAGGGTAATGGTTGGGTTTTTAAGTCACGTGGACCCTGAAAAGATCATATGGCGTCTTTCTTGTTCTACTTAAGGATGTAGATCATTGGTGCCCTCCGTACATTATTTCATTTACGAGCGGGCACTTTAGAAGAACCAGTATGTCTATAATATTTACCCCACATGAAAACCTCCGAACTCTTGACTGCAAATGATTCAAAATCAACGACTTCAAACATGTCTGAAGGAGTCTTTTAGTCTCTTATTCATTTCAAAATACAAATGAATCGTAGTTAAATTAAAGATAGCTTCTATATGTACATAAATGTTTGATTATTTTTCTACTTGAATAGTTTTCCACCCCCGTTTGTGACTGGTTTTAACAACGAGGCATGGCTGTACAACGACACGGCAGAGAATTGGTTAAACTGGTTACCAGCCGACACAGAAACAACCATTCAAAAGTTTGTCTATTTTGAATATCTGTTATTCGCTTTTTTATTGTTCACGTAATGTTATGATGCACAAACGTTTATCTTATTGCTGATAAAAATCGTCAGTGGTCGTCTATCATACCATAGCATGATAACTCACAAAATTCATTTTCCATTATCACATGACATTTATAAATAAGCTACTTACAATGTTTTCATTGGCGTCCGCGCCGAAGCGCGGCGCTCTTATGGAATGAGATCAGATTTTGTGAAAGGGCGACAGCAACTTCTCGAGCCTTTTAGTCGGTCATAATAAAAGCCGAAAATTCCGATCGGTATGAGGGTGCTCGATTGTTAAATAAGAATGAAATGTCGCGATATGTTACAATGAATTTTCGCAATGCAAACATTTACAAATGAAATAACCTTTTCCGTCAATAAATCGCGCTCTTCGGGGTTTTTTATTTATCATTTTGTAGTACACAGTCGGTTATCATGTCATGGTATGTTATTGTTGTACATGTATCCTAGAATGATCAGTTGATGACCTAAATATTCCAAAAACCTATTTATAGATATATCTTTTTATCACTCCTATCGGTAAATGCCGGTCTCTCCCGGTCTATTTTGACCAGGATTTACTAGTGACCGGCGAATAGTACCACACGTTTATTGTCCAGTCTCTCCCGGTTTTGGAGTAGATGTTTGATATCGTTACAATTAGAAAAAAACAACAATAGCATGTTTCATTTTATCTATATGAGATAAAAACAATAAATATGTACACGGATTTATATGTAATATAAATCCGTGATATGTACAATAATTGAGAAAAAGGTACATTTTTTATGGTATTAAAATGACATTATCAACTTTGAAACATTTTATTTAATTATTCAATTTGTTATCCGTGTTTAGTAAAGATGCGAGGGAATTATTCAAAGTTACAAATTAGATTTTATGAATTATTCAATTGATCGATAATTTAAAAAATGATAAAGAAAAATACAATGTACATGTACATGGTTTAAGAATAAACAATATTATATATTGAAAGATAAACCATAATTTACTGACTTTTTCCAGTTAAGCTTTGACTTATAATCGTCGGTCAATATGACAATTGAATTCTTAAAAATTGTTTTACAATTTTAATAAAAAAGAGTAGTAAAAACTCAGTATTAAAATAGCACATAAAACACAAAAAAGAATAAAAGAAAACAATATTCATAAAATTTGTATTTTTTTTTTTTAATTAAAATTAATAGATATTTACAATTATTGTATAATAAACAATTATGCTCAACATGATCAACATGGTAATATAACCAGTGTCATATTTTTACTAACTTAAAGTGTGAACAGATACCTTAAGGGGGTCTTCGCTAATAGCGATAACATGTACATAATAAGGGACAAATGTGTGGTACGTGTTGATCATGCGTTACACATATGGATTATAAATGATTGCATACATGTATATCCGTTGCTATTAATAACCACGATCATAAAGAAATAACAAGTAATATTCTAATCTCTAGCATGCCAATCAAAGTTCATAATGAACAATGTCTTTCGTCCGCTCATTCATAAGTGGTATACATTTCTGGTAGTTTATAAGAATATCTTGTCATCATATGTGTACTAGTTCATCTTCACTTGCTGCATTTCTTGCTTGGACGCCCTTTGATGCTTTGCATCAATGCTTTTCTTGTAGCATTTGTAAAATGTCCCCGAGTGCATGGAAATCGCAAGTTCTCGGGGAATATTTTGTATGCTGTCCAATATAAGTTAATCTACACGTGATCTTATATATGAATTTATTCGCATGGAAAGCTTTCCTTTAACAAAACTGCTGAGCGGAAATAAATCAGAATGCAATACTGAATCACTTTTTTGTGCCTGTACAATGCAAGATTCAATTGGACTAGTATACATCATGAACACTCATATTGTGCTCAGTGGCTTTAATTCAGTTCAGTGTTAAGATATTATCCATTAGTCTGCTGAATTTCTTATTTAACGTGTCCAGCTGCCATTTTTGAGCGGTCAATTATCACTTTTTAGGAGTCGAGATGAAACTCGAAGTTAGTCAGCAAATAGTAGAGCCTGGTTAGACTGCACGAATTTTTAGGTTGGCTTGATTCTATACTATTGTCAAATGTTATCAGCACTTGTGGTAACAGTAGTTCATAGCTTAAGTAAATTGAAATACAATAATTCTGTCACAATTTAACAACCTTAACAATTTATGTTTACAGGGCGGGATATTACTCAACTAGACCTTTCTTTGGGCTGAAAATCATCTCGCTTAATATGAATATGTGTAATAACGGAAACTGGTAAGTGTTTGAACTACCCCCAGTCTAGGTAAACATTTAACAACACTTATACCGATGTAAGTCAAACCTCCTGTTCTCTGTTAGTGTTATATAATATAATATTGTTAATATTTTATAATCTTAGAAACATTTCTTAACTTTTTGTGTTATTTATCTAGTTTGAAGGTACTTGTAATAAACTTTTAAAGTAATAGTAGTGCTTTGTAATTTAGCTTTGATTCCAACAAAGTTCGTCAAAATGTGCCTACTAAAATATATCGAAAGGGCTGATCAAATATTCGTGTTTCTGAAATATTCGTACATGTACAAAAATAAGAATTTAAAGTCAAATTTTAACTAGAATAAACAGTTTTTTATGGGGCGATTTCACTTACAGGTGGTTATATATCAACGCCACAGATCCAGCTGGTATGTTACAGTGGTTTATATCAGAACTTCAAGAATCAGAGGACGCTGGTGAAAAAGTAGGTAACATTGATGTAAAAAGCGATTTCCCGGTGCTAGGTTCATCAATATTATACATGTACTTTCGTTGTCTCGAATGACATGAGTTAATCAAACCGAGTCAACAATTGTCACTAATATTCAATTTGTTATATTAATGGCTTTCCTCCGTCGGTATATCAGTGAATTTTTGGTCAGGGCCTTTCAAATAGGTTGGTTTGTAATCTGGTAAAATATGTCCTGCTGTTAGAGTTGTATTAAATACCGCACGACTGCAAGGGTTAAAACACTATTTGTAATAATATGTCATATTTTTACATTGTTTAATTGAAGATCATATTGTAAATAAGACATGTGTTTCCTAATATGTTACTGTCATGAAATAATTAGTATTGTTGCTGTTGTTTTTGTTTGTTACGTAAGAGTTACAACAGACTTTGTTGATTTATTCTAGGTACATGTGTTAGGACATATATACCCCGGATGTAGCTGCTGCCTTAAACCATGGAGCTGGAATTATTACAAGATTGTAAACAGGTCATGTGTCTCCCATTGATCTATGTGGCGTTTAGCATGACATTTTACAAATTAAATTTCTTGTTATTAGTGTTGCTTTATTAGATTTTTTAGTTATTTCGCATGATATAACAATGTAGCTAATTAGGTCTTCTATGTCTTTACATGTAAGATTCTCAAAGCATGGCAAGATACCATGTCTATATGAAAGATGCTCAAGAAGATTAATAGTATTGTTGTTTATGTTTATTATGTTTATGGTGGTGTTTTTTTTTGTGGTGGTGTACTGATGTTTTGTTGTTTTTGAAAATTGCTCATTGCTTCATATCGTGCAGAATAAAATATTGAAGCCTGGATGATGACACTATTATATCATCCAAACGTTCGTCTGTCAACGCATGTATGTTAGTTGATCAAGGAATAATTTGATTTTCTTATTTTAAATTGTAGGTACGAAAATACAATAGTTGAACAGTTCTTTGGGCATACGCATGCCATGACCTATCAGATGTTTTATGACGAAGAAACATCGCAGCGCCCCCTGGGTGTCACCTATATGCCCGGAAGTATTACTACATACTCGAACTTGAATCCAGGCTTTAGAATCTACGAAATTGATGGAAACTATGCTAACTCAACATGGGTATGACTTCTTTTATAATTCTTTGAGATGTTTATCACATATAATTTACTTGCGGCTATTACATTATGCTGATATTACACGGTTTGCGTTGACACTTACTGTTTTATAACTTTTATATCAGGTAACGTACTTGTCTAATTTCTGAATGTTGATTAATTTCTTTTTTTCAGAGAGTACAAGATTACACGAACTATTTTCTTAATCTAACACATGCAAACCTTTATGGTGAAGTAACCTGGCAGAAAGAATATTCGGCTAAAGTAAGTTCTGAACCTTTTTAGTTTATACTAATTTGTTTCGCTTCGATTGTTTTGAAGTCTATAGGCTTATGGAAACAATATCGGATCCGTTCCTGGAATTAAAGTTTCTTGCTCATAGCTTGCCTCTGACGGGGTTTGAACCCACGCGGTCAGCAATCCTTAGTTCACTAGTCCGACATGTTTACCACTCGGGCAGGCCGCCACTCTGTACCTTGTTTTATTAAATTGTGGTGAATGTACTCAGTTTGGTCGTATTGGTAGTGAATCTATACGTTCATGCATTCATTGGTATTATTTTCTATTATTATTTTGATTTTGGCCGAGCCATGATTGGGGAAAACCCAAAGATTTGACATGGTCTTCAGAAATTTAGCACATTCGAGATAAATATTGTTTTGTTAAAATATTTAGTTTTATTTATTTTAGTCCTAAAAACACGTACTTGAAAGTGTAATTGCAAATTATTCATCATTTTATATCGTGAGATTTGCCTTTATATGAAAATTGTGTACTTTTACTTTGAAAACATGACCACCCTGTAAACATTTCGGATAAGCTCGAATTATTTTGATAAATATTAATAACAAACAGTTTGGGATAAAATCTATCTAGGTGAAAGTCCATGCAGTGTATAAAATAATATCACTTTGGAAGAAAATATTATTCAAATGTGGCCTTCCCCATATTTTCTATAGAAATTTACATTTTGATATGCATATGTATACTATTTCATCGCTTTTTTTAAAAATGTTTTCTCCCTTTGTGGGGACAAATACTTTATTTGACAATTTACCGCTATATTTCTGTTCATATGTCATCTTTTTAGGATTCCTATAAAATGACGTCATTGTTCCCAAAAGACTGGAATGATCTTATCTACAGAATGAAAGCAGACGACACTTTATTCCAGATATTCTGCAGGTGAGGAAGCGTTCATATAATACGTAATATTCATACCTAAATCATCAATTGAGCCGCGTCATGACAAAACCAACATAGTGGGTTTGCGACCAGCATGGATCCAGACCAGCCTGCGCCTCCGCGCAGTCTGATCAGGATCCATGCTGTTCGCTATCAGTTTCTCTACTTGTAATAGGGTTTGTAAGCGAACAACATGGATCCTGATCAGACTGCGCGGATGCGCAGGCTGGTCTGGATCCTTGCTGGTCGCAAACGCATTACGTTGGTTTTGTCGTGACGCGGCTCATATAATAATAATATTCATATTTAGCATGTTTACGACACATCGGACGACTATAATTCTCCTTAGTTTTGTTTTAACGTAAAAACTTTATCTAAAGTTTGAAATGGTAAACGTAGTTTGAAATGAGTTGGTAGTACGCATTGTATTTAACCAAGGAAAAATTGTATATTTAAAGAAATTAAATTGTAATATGAGTATGACAGTTTGTTAAATACTATATGAAGAAAAAGGCTAAACGATAATCCGACTGTTTCTTAAAAGCTTTTTGTCATATTTTTCCTTTTTGACGTCTGAATTAAACGATAAAATTCATATATTTTTTTAATTTGATCCTTTTATTCCATGACCTAATTCTGTATTTAGACTGACCGTTATATTTTCAGACACAATTCGAAGTCAGCCCCGACCAAATGTAGCACGTGTACTGGACAGTGCAAGAAAGACTTTCTCTGTGGTCTGAAATCTGGGCGAAACGGTGACCCTGACATTTGTAACGATTTATAAAAAGAGAATAGTAGCAGTGGACACATAAACAATTAGTGCAATACCGACCATTATATGGTTATATATTTATTTTATTTACGATATATTTCTATTACTGTCTTTATAATATAAAGTAAATTGGTACGATTCCTGTGGAGGCATTGACACATAAACTATATCTATTGTTATCGTTTAGTTTGGTACACATGTACATATATATTTTAATGAATAAAATGGCATATTAGAAATTTAAACCTTTATACCACTTCCATCCTCTTAACATCCAAGTCGAGAAAAATGTGTCAATGAAATGTAACTACGGACATTCCAATGATACAAGAGCAAAAATCAGGAAATGTATATCAAAATGATAGCATATAATTGGCGTCGGCGCCTTTTATGGAATGAGAAAGGGCGACAGCAACTTCTCGAGCCTTTTATAGTTGTTCATAATAAAAGCCGATCATTCCGATCGGTGTGAGGGTGCTTGATTATTAATTAGTCGCGATATGTACAATGAATAGCGAACTGGAGAATTTCGCAATATTAAATAACCTTTTCCGTCAATAAATCGCGCTCTTCAAGGTATTTTTATTTATCATTTTGTAGTACACAGTGGATTATTATGGTATGTTATTCCGAAAGCTGTAAATAGAATGATGAGTTGATGACCTAATATTCCGAAAATCTATTTATAGAGGGATGTACTCCTGTCGGTAATTCCCGGTCTCTCCTGGTCTATTTTGACGACCGGCGAATAGTACCACACGTTTATTGTCCAGTCTCTCCCGGTTTTGGAGTAGATGTTTGATATCGTTACAGAACAGAACAAATATTTTACAGATAAATAAGCTTTTTTTCAAAATGAATGTTTGTCACTTAGTTTGGTTACAAAATTAATAAACACAGATCAACTCTTAAAATTATTGCTTAATATTATACATAAACATACAATTCGAAAAAAACAGGGCTGGGAATCAAATCTGCGTCGTATCTTACAAAATGTAAACAAACGCCGCCATCTTGGAACGAAAAATGTATGTTTTTGTTTATAACTCTTTTTGTTGGAAATGACTGATAACCAGATGTATGTATTAACACGCTTCACTATTTTCCGCTTCGTTCGGTATATGAGGCTTGCACAACTTTTTTGTAAAACAAAAGTTATAGCGAACTTGCAACTCGAAGCGGGGCAGAATTTTTATGAAATTGTGTGGATACGACGCAGTTCATATTGCTTAATCTATCGTTTTCTCCTTCAAATTAATTATATACTCGTTTTCAGAGTTCACCATAAACTTAAAAACATAATTTTGCATCAATTACTTAACTTACATTAAAAAAGAGATGTTTATTTTCCAAGATAATAATGATTTTTACGAAATGATACGACACAGTTGGAAATAAAATATGATACGACGCAATTGTATTATTATTGCAGGCTGCATATTGGTTAAACTATTTAAATTATGTGCTAGGTATGCTAATAACGTCCAACAACATTTCTTGTTTACAACTTAAGTCAAAAGCAGAGGTCACTCATTGGTTCCATAAAAATGGAAATGTAATACAATTCTATTAAGGCTGCATTTTTCGGTCGCATTTTAGTACCTATCATAAGCATCTACAAATTCCGAAAAGTTGTATCAAATGCAATATACTATGAAACACGTAATCGCACACCCATATGACAACGTGTTCTAGTGCTTCTAAAATTGCTCCCGTGAGTTCGAAATGGGAGTGATTACTATTTTTGATACAAAATTCAATATTTCAGTGTAACTACTCCTGGACCCTGTATTAATCAGGATTTAGGAATGAACTTTTTTTAAAAAGAAAGAAAGAAAGAAAGAATTACAAATTTTGAAAAGGTCTCTTGCTACCGGAAGAGAGCTATATGCGCAAATTGCATGTCTACCTTTGTTACTTGTAATTAGCAATAATTTCCGTCAGTTCCGTTATTATTTAATATGTCTTTTACGTGCCGATTTTAATGTATTCATTTTCTTAATAATTGGTGAGAACAGATGAGCTTTATTATTTAAAACTAAACATTAATTTTTTTAAATTATATTATAAATGGTTAAGCTAAAATAAATTTTTGCAAGTAGGTTATGCGTTCAATTTAGTCATTTTATGTTCAGCCCGCTGATTTTGTCGTTTTGCATTTCTTTATCGCCGATGGAATGTATTTTCTATATTTGCACTTAAGTATCATTCTTCTCCATTAAAAAACAAAAAACTAAAGAAAAAGAAAAATCCAAATCGAGTTACATATGATACAACTACAAATTATTTTGTAAAGAAGGTGTTCGTTTTGCAAAGGCATTTTACGCTGTGCACCGATAAATTTGATACAGTTATAGGCAGACATGATCTGTCAACAGAACTGAAGAAGTTTTTACAATATTGAACAGAAAATTTAGGTCAGATTATCGCATCGAATTTTCAACGGACTAGAGACATGGCATCATAACATTCTTTCATACTAAAGTGTGATTTTTATTTGATAATGAATTTCCTTAAAACTTAAACAAAATTTTTCAGAAAATGACTTCACAGAGGATTACATCCTGTGTACATTGAAAAATTCTTAGCTAGTCATACCGAAATAAGAAATTTAAATGTTATTATTATCTTTATAATTAATTCAAATATTTATAATCTTAAAACTTCACGCCAGAAGTTAATAAAAAGCTGCTGACGTTAACAAATTTTGCTGTAAAAACAAATCAGACAGGTGTGTCGACCGAGGCCGAGCTGTTTGTTTACTGAATTCAAATCACTTGAACTGAACTGCTATGAATTCGGAAACCACCAGGGACTTTTTATTCTTTTGTGTGGAAAACCTATCAAGCTAGTTTCAAAATGTCGATGGTTCTCTGCAGGTGCAACATTTTGCCTGAAATAATGCACAAAGGCGCACCTGAGGTCCTCGCCCCTAGTAAAGCTAATGTGTAGAGTGAAAGTTTGAAAACAAACCACAAAAAAGCAGTCATTACCCAGAACATGCAGAACCACAGTTAACTTAGAGCGTAGCTAGCCAGAATGAATTCAGGTTAATAGATTTCTACATTTTTTTGCGAAAAAAAAATAGGGATAATATTGAACATACAGGAAAATATAAGAAATTATTTCAGATATTATGATCAATTAGGTAACAGGTTCATGTTTGACTGAAAAGTAGCTTCCGCAATGTAAACTTTCAAATTAAATGTTATATTGGACATGACACAATGTATTCTAAATAATAAAAAGCAACAGAACATTGCTATACACCGCAAATGATCTGTTTTTTTTTTATCTAGCGCAAGTGATTATTCCATAAAATAGAAATATATTGCCAAAGTTATCCCTGTTGAAAAGACTGCCAAAAATACTACTGCGTCGTATCATATTTTATTTTCAACTGCGTCGTATCATTTCGTAAAAATCATTTTTATTTCCTTAGAAAATAAGCATCTCTTTTTAATGAAATTTTAGTAAATGATGCAAAATTATATTTCGAAATTTATGGTGAACTCTGAAACAAATATATAATCGATTTGAAGGAAAAAACGATAGATAAAGCAATATGAACTGCGTCGTATCCACACATTTTCATAAAAATTCTGCCCCGCTTCGAGTTGCAAGTTCGCTATAACTTTTGTTTTACAAAAAAGTTGTGCAAGCCACATATACCGAACGAAGCGGAAAATAGTGTAGCGTGTTAATACATATATCTGGTTTTCAGTCATTTCCAACAAAAAAAGTTATAAACAAAAACATACATTTTTCGTTCCAAGATGGCGGCGTTTGTTTACATTTTGTAAGATACGACGCAGTTTTGATTCCCAGCCCTGAAAAAACCAACAACACAAATCGCATGTTTTATTTTATCTATATGAGATAAAAACAATAAATATGTACAATAATTGAGAAAAATGTACATTTTTATGGCATTAATATGACACTATCAACTTTGAAACATTTTATTTAATTTGTTATTCGTGTTAGTAAAGATGCCGAGGAATTATTCCAAGTTACAAATCAGATTTTATGAATTATTCAATTGATTGATAATTTAAGAAATGATAAAGAAAAATACAAATGTACATGTATATGGTTTAAGAATAAACAATATTATATATTGAAAGATTAACCATAATTTACTGACTTTTTCCAATTAAGTTTTGACTTATAATCGTCGGTCATTCTTAAAATAATAATAAACGTAAAAACTCAGTATTAAATAGTGCATAAAACACAAAAAAGAAAAGAAAACAATATTCATAAAATCTGTATTTTTTTTTATTAAGAAAGATATTACAATTAGTGTGTAATAAACATTTATGCTCAACATGATCAACATGGTAATATAACAAGTGTCATATTGTTACTAAGTGTGAACAGATACCTTAAGAGGAGGTCTTCGTTAATAGCGATTACATAATAAGGGACAATTACACAAGTGTGGTGTTGATCATGCGTTACTCATATGGATTATAAATGATTGTATATTCAATTCAATTCTTTATTCAGCATATGAACATTATATGTTCGTCGCCATTTATCATGGTGACGGCGGTTACAATAATTGAGAAGAGCATGGTAATATATATACATACATAATCAATTCACATTACACTATGTAAAATTAAGTATGTATACCAATATTTGGACACACCGACTCTCGATAGGCCAGTAAGAGGATATTAAGCCTGTGATATTTAAACATACATAATCAATTCACATTACACTATGTAAAATTAAGTATGTATAGGAGAGATTTACCAGTGGCAAATATTCTAAAAATAGAATTGCTGATAAGCACTGACCATAGCAACCGTTGCTGGTCGTACATCCTCTTTGTACTACCTAGTCATTTTACACAAGAAAACTATGGTGTGTGTGTCTATTAAGAAATAAATATGAGCTCTGTTTCAATAAAGTTTTTGATGCTAAATCATCATTAGTCCCCGAATAGAAAAATGATTGTATTATAATAAATTTAAGAAAATATCAGTTAAATGGTTCATGAATAAAGAAAAGATTAACAATATGTTGAGTAACTATTTATTTACAATAAAGACATTATATGTGAAACAAACTTGCGTAGAAATATTGTCAAGAAACTGTTATCATTTGTTAAATCAGCAAAAATAACGTACACTTAATTCATAGTAAACT